TCTTTTTATAAGTAGAACCACGTTCTATGTATTCTTCTGTGGTTTACCTTTTATGTTCACATTTATATCTCTGAAATTGATTCTGTTGTGTGTAGCTGTGATTCATTCATTTTGCTACTCTTTAATATTCTATTTACAGAACACTTTTTTTTTTTTTTTTTGGTGGAGCTAGGAATTGAACCCAGTGGCACTGAATTACATCCCAGCCTTTTTTATTTTATTTTGAGGCAGGGTCTCACCAAATTGCTGAGGCAGTCCTTGAACTTGTGATCCTCCTACCTTGGTCTCCCCCGTCACTGGAATTACAAGTGAGCACTGTCACACCCAACTTACCACATATCTCAAGACCCTGTCTCAAAAAGAAATTTTAAAAATTAATTTGGCCATTTCATTGTGATTTTAATTTGTATTTCCCATATTATTAATGAGTTTGAACATCTTTTCATATGTTTATTGGCCATTTGGTTTTTTTCTCTTTAGGAAATTCCATTTAAGTTTCTTGCCCCATTTTCTCTTGGATTTAGAGAAGTAATTACACATTCTGAATACTAATCCTTTACACTTGTTACAGATTTGGGAAGCTTATCTTTTTGTTTTAGTGTCTTTGATGAATAGAGGTTCTTGAGTTTATGTATCATTTGCTCTTTATGTTTAAGAAATCATTTATAAGAGCCAGGTGTGGTGGTGTAGGCCTGTAATCCCAGTGGCTCAGCTCAGGAAGCAGAAACAGGGACTTCAAGTTCAAAGCCAGCCTCAGCAACTTTGTGAGGCCCTAAGCAACTTAGTGAGACTCTGTCCTTCTGCGAAAATAAAAAGAAGGGTTGGGGATGTGGCTCAGTGGTTAAATGCCTCTGGGTACCAAAAAAAGAAAGAAAAAGAGAAATCCTTTGTAAGGCCATACAGTTATTCTACATTGTCTTCTAAAAATTTTAGAATTTTGCTGGGCATGGTAGCTCACACCTGTAATCCCAGTGGCTCAGGAGGCTGAGGCAGGAGGATCATGAGTTCAAAGCCAGCCTCGGCAAAAGCGAGGTTCTACACAACTCAGTGAGATCCTGTCTCTAAATAAAATACAAAATAGGGCTGGGGATGGGGCTCAGTGGTTGAATGCACCTGAGTTCAATCCCCAGTAATTCCCCCCAAAAAAGTTTTAGAGTTTTGTTATTTACGATTGTCCTTAATCCACGTGGGTTTTTGTGTGTATTGTGTAATATATAATTAGATATAAATAATAAATTAAAAGTAAAATAATAAATCTAATATAATTACTTTCACGTGGTTAACCAATTGTTCAGTGCCTTTTTGTGTGTGTGTGTGACACTGGAGTTTGAACCCAGGGAGCTCACCACTGAGCCATATCCCCAATCTTTTTTTAATTTTTTATTTTGAGACAGGGTCTAATTAAATGGCCCAAGCTGGCTGTGAACTTGCAATCCTCTTGCCTTAGCCTCCCGAGGGCCTGGGATTGCAGGTGTGTATCACGGCGCTGCACTTTAGCACTAGTTATTGAAGAGCCCATCCTTCTGCCACTGATCCTCAATGCACTGATCTTCAGTGACCAAATTTCCATATGCATTGAGAGTCTGTTTCTAGGTTTCTGCCCCTGTGCCAAAACAACTCTGTTTAATTAATACAGCTCAAATTCTTAAATCTCTAGTGAGGCAAATCTCTCCTACCTTTTCTTCTTAGTCCTTGGCTCTGCCATGTAATTTTTTTCTTTTTTAGTTGTTGATGGACCTTTATTTTATTCATTTATTTATATGATGTGCTGAGAATCAAACCCACTGCCTCATACATGTGAGGCAAGCGTTCTACCACTGAGCCACAACTCCAGCCCTATGCAATGTAAATTTTAAAAAACTATTTTTCATACAAAAAAAAGAAACAATTTTTTTGGCATGATGTGGAACCTATAGATAAATTTGAGGTGAATTTAACTATATTTTCCATATTTTATCATGTGGCTTAATTTAGGTCTTCTTTAACTTGCTTAATAGTTTCATCATTCCTTCATAAAGGCCTTTAGATTTATTCCCAGATGCTTACTATTTTTTATGTTATTGCAATTTTCTCTTTATTTTGCAGTGCTGAGATTGAACCCAAGGCTTTGAGTATGGTAGGAAAGCATTTTACTGCTTAGCTACATCCCCAGCCTATGATTTTTTTTTAAATTTAATTTTTATATTTTTGTAGTGCTAAGAATTTAAACCAGGGCACTGTACCACTGAGCTACATCCCCAGCCCTTTATTTTATTTTATTTTGCTTTTATTTTTTGGTTTTTCTCTTTCCACATTTTCCTTTTTATTTTCTATTTTGGTACAGGATCTCATTAAGTTGCCCAGGCTGTCTTCAAACTTGTGATCCTCCTGCCTCAGCCTCCTGAGTCACTGGGATTACAGGCATGTGCCACTAAGACTGGCTGTTTTGTTGAGTTTTAAAAAATATATTTCCTGACTGTTTGCTGCTGATGTATAGAATTACAACTAATTTTTGTAAAAAATTTTTTGGGAGGAGTGCTGAGGATTAAACCCTGGGCCTCACACATTTTAAACATACACTACCACTGAGCTACCTCCCATCCCTGTAAGCGATTTTGTATATCCAACTTCACTAAATTCTTATTAACTTAATTGATTTATCCATGGATTATTTTGTGTTTTCTACACAAACATAATATATATATATATATAATATATAAACATATTATTAGAAAACAATGATAGTTTTGTTTATTACTTTACGATTATAAGTGAAAATAAAAGCAGGATATATAATTACAAAATGTAAGCCAGAGAGAATATTCATAAAAATCCCACAGAAGGAAAGCACAGAAATCTAAGATGTGGCTTATTTTGAGTTAAAGAATTATGGATACACTTTCCTTTTTAAACATATTTTATGTACAATTTTTCTAAATGGGTATCTGTCACTTTCATAACAAGAAACAAAATTTGAAAGCAAAAGCAAATCTAAAATAAATTTAAAGGTAATCATGATCTAAAAGTGCCCAGTTAGAAATAAAGGAAATAACCTTTGCCACTTGGTCTCCACCCAACTTCACCAGTGCAGAGCCCGTTGGCTGCGTAGTCAGGGACTGATATGTCACAGTGTATCTCAGCAGCTCCTTAGATCTCTGGAACTCTGGTCTGTTGAGGGCATGTATGGAATTAACCTCTCAATGTCATACTATTGGTCTTATGTTTATTTGTTCTGAAATGTAGTGGACTCTTATAATAATTAAGACTCTTATAATTAAGACTCTTCTAATAATTAAGGTATATTTTTCCCTTTTTGTGAGTTATCCATGATCTTTTCATATTGGGATACCCTAACTCACACTGCTTATTTCCCAAGGACTAAACTTCAATTGGCACTTCTCCCCATTTACAAATAAGGAAACAGACACACCTAGAGATTAAGTGGTCCTATCTGCTTTGCAGGCTTCCTCTACCCTATAGTAACTTTGTCTCCCATCATGACCTTTTTTAAAATTATCTGTCTTCTCCATTATAAGCTCCATGAGATTAAGTTCTTTGCTTGTCCTGTTCCACTCTGTAACACCAGGCCTAGTACCTGATAGTTTCCTGACACAAGGTAGATGAACAATAAATGGTTATTGAATGTTGAAAGAGTATTATAGGTAACACTTTCAAAACATCAAAATACCCATCAAATTAAATGTTTGATGGCTTGCTTTTGGAAATATCCACAACAAAATTTGATTACATTCATGTGGAAATTGAAAACAATCCCTAAGCAAAAGCTCCTTATGAAAAATGTTTGAAAGCAAAATTATCTTTCTATCTACCTTTTCTTATATGACAAATTTTTCATATGATAAAACATTTCTCTTTTTTATTTTCTTTTGTTTCTTTCTTTTTTATTTTTTTTTGTTCTACTTAGTTGTACATTATAGCAGAATGCATTTCAATTCATCATACACAAATGGAATGCAACATTTCAATTCTCTGGTTGTACAGAATATAGAGTCACATCATTGGTCTTATTTTCTATACTATTGGTGTATACATGTACCTAGGGTAATGACATACATCTCTTTCATTTCTCTCTTTTTTAACATCATTAGGGCTATTAGTGTACTATAGCTTCTAGATGCTAACTGTATGTATTTGTTAATTGAGCTGGTATTATTTCAAAGAAAAGCTAGAAAAAATTAAATGAACATAATTCATAAAAGTATGTTTATTTTAAGATAATTGGTGTTTCAATTATCCCAACAATTGCTTCATGCACCTAAACTATTTTAATTGTCTGTATAGAGAAATAGTTTATTAGATAGAGTTAATGATACCATACTAACATTTCAGTTTTTTAACATTTTACAGTAATTAATGGGTACTTTAGTTCATTTTATTAATTTGGTACATGAACCCAATGTTTGAGGGCTCCCCATGCTGTAGATACTGTGTATCAATGTATAAAACTTATATAAGAGGGATTAGGGATTTGGCTCAGGGTAGAGCACTTGCCTAACTGTGCAAGGCTGTGTGGGTTCAACCCCTAGCACCAAAAAAAAAGAAAGGCAATCCAATATTACCTTAAACACTCACAAACTAATGTAGTATCCTTGGACTCATATTTTCCTTTCCTTGTATATATTTTGTTGGTAAACATGGGGTAAAGAAGACTCATGCAATTATATTGATTTGGTCAAGAATGGTGGTCCAAAGCTGAATTTTTTTTAAAGTGGTGGTCTGTAGTAGCAAGAAGTACTTTGCATATAAATAGGATTTGATTAAACAGAGATCTCCCATAATCGATTGCTTTCACTTCATGTATCAGAACATTCCTTGTTATTTGCATCAGGTACGGGAGGCAGGGTGGGATGTTCTCAAGAAAAGAAGTCTGATATTTCCTTTTCAAAATTCTGGCAGGGAATAAATGTCTGTGTACAGTTAGTACCCAGTATCAGTCGACAGTTCATTTGAGTTTACGTGTGTGTGTGTAGGAAGATAAACTCTTTTTTTCTTCTTGGCAGGTGTCCTTGTAGACTTGGGTCTGGAGGAAAATGGGACAGCTCATCAGAGAGCAGAGAAATACGTGGTTCGTCTGGACAATGAGATTCAAAGCAAGTTTGAAGTGTTTATGAGGAGGGTGAAACAGAACCCATACACACTGTTTGTGCTAGTTCATGACAACTCCCACGTGGAACTAACGAGGTGATTGCTTTCGTGTGAGCAAACACAGTATTTCTTCTATAGCAGTCATTGTTACACCAGGAAATCTTTTAAAGGTGACAGTGTGAAGCCCCAGGGATCCTAACATTTAGTGTCTTCCTCCTGCTAACTTATTCATAATCTTTTCTTGCTCCCTCAACTCTTCGTGTGATTTAGTGTTGATTTCATTTTAAATATACTGTGAAGGAATTTAGAAATTTCTGTTAGAAGTACTGTCGTAAGAGTATCATGGGGGCTGGGGCTGGGGCTCAGTGGCAGAGCACTTGCCTAGCATGTGTGACGCACTGGGTTCGATCCTCAGCACTACACATAAATAAATAAAATAAAGGTCCATCCATAACTTTAAAAAAATTGTTTAAAAAAAGAATCTTGGAACTCAGTTGCTTCAGAGAGGGTGGGGAGAAGGAGGTCAAGGAAATAAGCTCCCAGGAGAGAGATGAGCTTCCTTCTCTAGCTCTTCCCTAAGCTCTTACCCTTTTTCATTTACTGCTCTTCCAGTGTTTCCTCCTCTTCCTTCTTTTTCTCTCTTCCCTCTTACCTTTTAAAAGTAGTGGAAATGCCACTTAAATGTTCTGAGAGCAGATCTGAAACCTTCCCATTTCCCAATTTAAGAGGATATCGTATTTCTTGATTGGACGTATTAATGAAAGAACATTATGTTTGGAATGATAGAAGCAGTTTTGCCCCCAGATCAAATTGTAATTATCTGGTGAGGTATGGACTAAAAAGGCAAATCATTTTTTAAAAAGAGAGGGAAAAAAAGAAATAAAAAATAAATAAAAATTAAAAGAGAGGGACACATGTGAGGCACTGGGTTCGATCCCCAGCACCACATAAAAAAACTAAATAAACAAAATAAAGGTATTGTGTCCATCTACAACTACAAATATTAATATATATATATATATATATTATAATTAAAATATATATATATTTAATTATATATATATATAATTAAAATATATATATATATATATATATATATAGAGAGAGAGAGAGAGAGAGAGACAAATAGTCATCGAGTATGACATATCATGGTTTGTCCTCACCATGGAAGGACAGGGTGGTTTCAGTCATCATTGAACATTTTATCAATCTTCTTTTCTCCAGGAGAAACTGAGGTTAGGAATCTGGAAGTTCTTTGGTTTATGGTAAAAAATGTCAGAATTCAAAAAAAAAAAAAATCTTGTTCAGAAGCCAGAATGGGTTTGATAGGCTGCAATATGAAGTCTAGAACCATGTGTGTGTATAAATAAGACCTTACATTAATCTGTTAGATTTAGGAGAAGGAAAAAAGGAAGAGAAGGAGAGGGGAAAGGAGGGAAAAGAAATTTTACACACATCTCTTTAGTCATTGGTAATGTTCTGTGAGGAGAAATAGCTCACTAACCTCACACACCTTGTCTTTCAAAGTTTAGGGAATATTTTTGAGGACACAACATTAGATCTCTCTGTATTTAACTCCCTGGGTCATCAAGATTATTTCTTTAATTTAAAAAGTATGTTTTTTTGCCAGGTACAGTGGCACACACCTGTAATCTTTAGCTACTCGGGAGGCTAAAGCAGGAGGATTACAAGTTTGAGGCCAGCTTCTGCAATTGGGTGAGACCCTGTCTCAAAATAAAAAAATAAAAATAAAAAGGGCTGGAGATGTAGCTCAGTGGTAAAGTGCATTAGTCATTTGGGGATGTAGGGGACATTGTGACAAAAAAAAAAAAAAAAAACCCTGAGAAAAAAATAACTAGGAGAAGGAAAGATTTATTTTAGCTCATGGTTTCAGAGATTTCAGTTGGTGGTTAGCTTGAGGTGAAGGCAGAGCATCATGGCAGGAGGGTAAGGCAGAAGAAAGCTGTTCAGCTTGTGGAAGCCAGGAAACAGAGAGAGCGGAAGAAAGGGGACAAGGATAAGATATAATCCCCAAGGACACACCTCCAGAGACCTGCTTTCTCAACCCATGCCCCACCTGCCTCCATTTCCACTACCTCCCATAGTCCACTTAACTATCAATGGATCATTCCACTGATGATGTCAGAGCCCTCATGATCCAATCACTTCCCAAAAGCTCCACCTCTGAACATTGCCACATTGGGGACCAAGCCTTCAATAAGTGAAATCTTTGGAGGACACTTCATATCCAAATCAGATAGCACCCTTGGATTCAATCCCAGGTAACACAAAATTTACATATACATATGCACGTATCTGAGGATGCATGGGAACCTGGTAAATACAAATTGAACAGAACTGAAAGAGCTTCAGAGATACGAGTCTTGGTCACAAGTTGTAAAAGGACAGTTCTCCCCAGATGGCCTGCCAGTCTGGAATCCATGGCAGGAATAGGAGTGATTTTGATACAGAGGAGCTCTGGCTGCAGGGCTCTAAGCATTGTGTCCTGGTGAAGAGGCTCCCTCATTCAGGTGAGCTTTCAAAGTCAAGTGCTCTGTCTCAACTACAGCTGTAGCCATCCCTGGCCTGGAACACTTTGAGGTGTATCAGGGGCAAACTGAAAAAAAAAATCACTAAAATCTGTGTGCAAAGGGGTAAGAAGTGTAAAATTTTCCTCTTTCAAATCACATTTCAATTGAATCTATTCCCCCCAATTTAAAAGAACTAGAAAAGTAAGAACTAAAACATTATTTCTATGTTGGTGTCTGCTTCTGTATTCAGTCAGTTGAATTAAAAGGTATTAATGTGACTTTCCATTTTTCTACAGCGTCATTTCGGGCTCTCTATCCCATGGCGAACCCAGTCATGGATTGGCTGATAGAGTCATCAACTGCAGAGAAGTTCTGGATGCTTTTAACCTCCTGGTGCTCCAGGTCAGCTCCTTCCCATACACTCTGCAGACCCAGCAGTCCCGGATCAGCTCCAGCAACGAGGTTCACTGGATACAGCTGGATACGGTGGTGAGTTTCCTATATACTCATATTCTCACTTTCCCAGGGAGCAGAAACTTGGAACTGAATGTGGTGATGGTACAGCTCAAGAGTTCAAAATATAAATAACATAATGTTTCATCTTCTAAAAGTACCATATGATCATAATTTTTTTCTTTTTTTTTTTTTTTGAGATGAGGTCTCGCTATGGTGTGCAGGGTGGTCTCAAACTCTTGAGCTCAAGTGATTCTCCTGCCTCAGTCTTCTGAGTGCTGGGACTATAGATACTCATTACTATGTCCTGCTAACTACAACGATTAGAAAGACTAAAAACTAGTGAATAGTGTCCTGTGGAAATTTGATTAGGTAGTTCTTTTTGGATAACATGCAGATAGAAAATTAGCATCCTGTACAGTTTTTTATGTGATGCTATCTGAGAACATAATCAAGACCATGGATCACCTTGGTGTCTTAAAATGATTAATTTTATTCTGAGACCTGGAAATTTTATTGTCCTCTTGGGTGGCCTCTTTGTCAAGTTCAAGTCTGGCTGATCTAATCACTGTTAATCACTCTCATGCCCTACAGCAACTGGTTTTTTTCTTTCAACCAATTCTCAGATTCTTGTTTACAACTGTGGAAGATGGCACTGTACTTTAAGGAATTCAGTAGAAGCATTGAATGTGTTGGAAGTAATCATATAAATATCCAGGTCTTTATATTTTTTTATTTCAATCCCTAATTCCTGAAAAATATTTTCTATGACCTATAGACTTAAACCAACTATATTATCAAAGAAATAAGAGTTGGATAAAATAATAAAGATAAGCCATTTTGCCATGAATCCTCTGTATAAAAACACTGAACATTAGGCTGGAGTTGTAGCTCAGTGGTAGAGCACTCACCTAGCATGGGTGAGGTACTGGGTTCAATCCTCAGCACCACATAAAAATAAATAAATAAAATAAAGGCATTCTGTCCATCTATAACTACAAAAAAAATTAAAAACACTAAAAACATTGGCTATTTTAAAATAAACATCTTATAGCCAGGCATGCCTGTAATCCCAGCTACTTGGTAGGCTGAGGCAGAATGGTCACAATTGTGAGACCAGCTTGGGCACCATAGTGAGACCCTGTCTCAAAAATAGATAGATAGGGGCTGAGGATGTAGCTCAAGCAGTAGCGCGCTCGCCTGGCATGCGTGCGGCCCGGGTTCGATCCTCAGCACCACATACAAACAAAGATGTTGTGTCCGCCAAAAACTGAAAAATAAATATTAAAAATTTTTTTAAAAAAATAGATAGATAAGCATGTTTAAGTTAGAAACATCAAACATGTCTTACATCTGAATAACACTTATTTATTTTTTAATACCTTTATTTTATTCATTTTTTTAATGTGGTGCTGAGGATCGAACCCAGTGCCTCACATGTGCTAGGCAAGTGCTCTACCACTGAGCCACAACCCCAGCATTTTATTTATTATTATTTATCAACCCAGTGCATTTTATTTTATTATGAAGCAGGAAGGCTGTCCCTCAGGTTGAGCGCTCATCTTCAACATTGCGTTGTTCTTTGCAGAAAGCAGGCTCAGTTCCTTGAATCAACTTAGCATCAGTAGCCTTTCCATGAGGACTATTTTAGGGTGTTTTCACTGCCACATGAAGATTGCTCTGAGCTTTTACTTTTTACTTTACTAGGATCTTGGTGGCAGTTCCATCCATCATTAAGTGGCCAAGTTAGGGGTGAGATAACAAAGCCTCCACAGTCCTTTGCCTCTAAACTACAGAGTGGGCCTGTGGGCTGCTCTGATACAGTGGGATTGTCAACAGAAGGAATAAAAGGGAAAACTACCTTTTAAAACTAAAAGTGGAGTTACCCCATGATCCAGAAATTACACCATTAGGACCATATCCAGAGAAATGAAATCAGTATGTTGAGGAGACATCTGCCTTTTCATGTTTATTGAAGCACCTACTCACAATAGCCAAGATATGGAATAAACCTGGGTGTTTATGGATAGATGAATGAATAAAGAAAACATAGTATGTGTACCTAATTGAATATTATTCAGCCACCAAAAAATGAAATTTTGTCATTTGCAGCAACATAGATGGAACTATATTATTCATGGTTTAGAAAAATGTGGAACAAAACATGTATGTATACAGATATATGTGTAATGCCCTCTATGTCTACACATACACAGTATATAGAGGGAATTATGTTAAGTGAAATAAGTCAAGCATAGAAAGACAAACACTGCATGTTCTCACTTAACATGTAAAGCTAAAAAGTTGATCTCAAAGAAGTAAAGAGTAGAATAGTGGTTACCAGATTCTGGAAGGGTATTCGGAAGTAATGGATGGTGAGAGGATGGTTAACAGATACAGGATGCACTTGAATAGAAGGAATAATTTCTAATATTTCATACCATGGTAGGATAGCTATTGTTGACAACAATTAATTGAATATTTCAAATTAGCTAATAGAGAGGATTTTGAAGGTTCCTAACACAAAGAAATATGTCTGAGGTGACAGATATTCCAATTACCCTGATCTGATCATTACACATGTAAAGAATTATTCAATATTTACATACATGTATTGAAATGTCACACTAAAAAAATAAATAAGTGTCACACTGTGTCCCATAAATATGTACAATTAATATGTGTCAATTAAAAATAAAACTATATTAACATTTTTAAATCCAACAGATAGGTGTCCTATTATATGTGGCACAGAGGAAACTATCCTATATACCTGTTCACTCAGTCTTTTCCAGAAGGGATCACTTCCATGATAGGAAGAAGGGCTAATAGTTCCCGCCCTTTATTTTTTTCTTACATGAAATAATAAACAGTTTTAATTTTCCTTAAAAGTCATTCCTATGATTAAGGTTAATATATTAGGTGTAATAATGGGATTGTGGTCATATCTTTAAAAAGAGTAGTTATCTTCACTATATATAGTAAAGTACTTATGGATTAAACATAGGATTCCAGGAATTTATTTAAAATAATTGAGGGGGTAGGAACTTGTTATACCCTTCTGCAATTAAAAATCTGAAAAATCCTATGGAATTGAGGTCAACATAGAGAAAAGGAAAATATTACATTGATCTGTGTTACATTACGCTGAATCTAATTTATGACACGTGGGGGAGAAGCTCCTTTAGTTGTCTTGAAGCCAGCGTCCTATGGAAGAATAAATGGAAAAAGCAAAGAAATTCAACTCAAGAAAACATTGTCTAGCACTCGTGGACTTGTGTTGGATCTTCAAAGAATACACTGAGAACCGATGGCTAGAGAGAAGGCAGAATTCATATCTAAGTACTATTATTCAAAGCAGAATAAGTCCATTTCATAAATCATGGAAGAAAACCAGGAAGAAAACAGCTGTGAGGGCAGTGAGGCCAAGGACTAACAAGCAAATGCCACTGGGTTTGGCCTCAAGAGTCTTTGGTGACCTTCCAGGGAACAGCATCAGGAGAGCAGAGTGGCTGCAGCCAAGACAGAGCTGGCAGCTCGAGGTCACTGAGACGGAGAGACTTGAGAAAGGGCATTTTTGTTTTGTTTTGATTTATGAGTAGGGCATTTCCCCCCAAATATTTTTACAGTAAAATAATTCTGAGTTTCATGACATGCTTCAAAGAATGGCCCCATTTACTTCTGTATTACAAAAGTCCCCATGACACCGTATTGTAAACAGTGCAGTTACACTTTAATGCAAACATATCAGACTATTCGTTCCTAATTCAAATTTTTAGTAGTTGTAGTCCTCAAAACTCATAGTGGCTACAGTTAATCACAAGACATCATTAGCAATCTGCTTTATAATTTTGCTACGAATAAAGAAAAATAAAAACAAGGAGAGGAGAATACAGCCTCTCTAGCAAGTTATAATGCTGTTGTCAGGAAAAGGAACAGGCACGGAAAAGGATTTGCTATTGTTAAAAAAAAAAGGGGGGGGGGGGCCAAAAATGAGAAGGAAATATGAAGACCAAGTACACACAAGATAAAGCTTTTCCTAGTGGCTGTGTCCCTGCAGCCCAGATGAGGAGGGAAATGGAGATGAATGACTTTTTTCCCCCTTGACCTGACTTCCTTGACTCAGCTCCACTGCAGCACACAGCTAAGCCCAGGAGGAAACAAGAAAGGCCTTGGGGCCTTTGCAATCTCTGTCAGTCTGTGCTCTGCACCTCCAGAATCTGTAAGAATATCCTCAAGTCCTGAGTCCCCAGGTAAAGTCCATTTAGTCTCAATGGAGACCTTGTTCCAGTGAGCAGGTTGACTGCGTTAGAGGGCCTCAAAATGAATGAATGAATGAATGAATAAATAAATAAATAAATAAAAGCTGCCCATTAAGTAGTGCTTTATTTTTATCTTCTGGACCCTATAAATCACAAAATTATTTCTGTCTTTTAGATGGGTTACTAAAAAGCTCAGAACCAAATCTGTAAACCATTTCTCACAAAGAATGCAGAAACTTCTTTTTTTTAAATTTTTTTAGATATTGATGGGCCTTTATTTTATTCATTTATTTATATGTGATGCTGAGAATCGAACCCAGTGCCTTACACATGCTGTGCAAGTGCTTTACCACTGAGCCACCACCCCAGCCTGCTGCAGAAACTTCTGACATGTATTTTTTTTGAGAGACTAACCTGGCCCAATTTTATTTCTCTTACCCTTACTTTTCTTCCTCTGAATGCCTAATTTATTGTTACATTATTACACTTTTAAAAGCTGCATTATTTCCTCTATAAAATAAGTTGAAGAGGATTTAAAAGAAAAAACTATTAATACAAAATGAATGAAAGACTGAAATGCCCAGGCAACGTGACAACAAGAAAAAATTATTGTATAGAAAAGAGACAAGAAAACTATACACACAGACACACAATAATAATAATAACAACAACCACAGACCTATGGAGTCAAAAGGCTTAATATTCTAGGGTTTCCTAGTTAAAGGACAAACAGCTTGTCACACACCTCAGGATCCTCTAAGGGCATCATTGTGTCACATCCCAAAATAGCTACTCATTTTCACAGTGATGACTGAGTCATCAAGAAGGGAACGAATTAATACTGTGTAAAAGTATCTATCTATCCATCTGTCTGTCTATTATCTATCTTATCTATCTAGTACCAGGAATGAACCTAGGGGAGCTCTACCACTGAGCCACGTCCCCAGCCCTTTTTATTTGAAACAGGGTTTTGCTAAATTGCTTAGGGCCTCTCAAAGTTGCTGAGGCTGACATTGAACAATCCTTTTAAGTTTCTGGGATTACAGGCGTGCACCACCACACCCAGCATATATTTTGTTTTCAAAAGGAAACTTTGTAAAAGGATGAGCTTCTTTATCCTAAGTACATGTATGAAGACACGAATGGTGTGAAAATACTTTGTGTACAATCAGTGACTTGAAAAATCGTGCTCTACATGTGTAATATGTAATTACATTCTGCCATTGTGTATAACAAATTAGAAAAAATAAATAATTGAATGGAAAAAAAAAAAAGGATGAGCTTCTGTGAGTTATCATTAAATGATGTCAGGAAAGTTAAGTTTTCTGTAAAAGGTTTTGAGTTGCTCTCCAGAGAGTTCTGTGGATAGCACAGAATCACAGTTCTGTGGAGAGCCTATTCCAACAGGGAAAGAATGGGAGTGGAAGCCATATGACCTCATGTAGCCAAACAAAAGAAAAAGAAAACAAACCATCCCTGTAGTTTGCCTGAAGGAAGTGTGTCAACAACATTCCACTAGTCACATATTAAGTTCTCTTGACTTATTGACAAGGTGTGTGGTATTAGGGACCCATCCCAGGGCCTCCTGAGTGCTAGGCAAGTATGCTACACCCAGGGCCCTAAGTTCTCATGAAGTGAAAAGAATCTCAGTCAGTGCCTCATTGATGAGTTCAGAGTTGGTATCAGGTTATATAACAGAACAACTACTTTCTTTTCACCTCCCAGGAAATAACCTCTTACAGGGAATCTCCTCTCTACTCCCTCTGAAAATGAGACATACTGTATCCCATCCTCACTGGCTTTTGTTTGTTTGTGTGTGTGTGTGTGCACGCCTGCACGCACTTTGAACCAGGAGGACGTGGGCTGTGAGGAGAAGCTGTACTTCGGCTTGAATGAATACAGCAAGTCTCTGCAGTGGGGGGTCACAAGCCCACTCCTGAGGTGCGATGAGACCTTCGAGAAGATGGTGAACACGCTCTTGGAGAGGTAAATAAGGACTCCTGCCCTTTTCTTTAGCTGTACTTACATGTCACAGGGAGTTTGGAGCTCATGCAGATGACATGCAGAGGCCAAATAAGAAAAGCCTCTTCTTCTAAGACGCCTTTTACCCTATGGGTTTCACGTGATCACCTGAGACCATCAGAGGAAGACGTGACCTAAAATAGTGACCTACAGTAGGGCACAGCACCCCTTTTCATGCCCTGAATTGTCTCCCAATGAAGCATCATTGCTACCAGCAAGAGGTTGAAAGGTCAGAAAGGGATTTGCTCATTAAAGACATCTCTCTGGCCGCCCTGACCCTGTATTTCGGGCTTCTACGTTTTCTCCTCTTTCCTCCTGTTGACCACAGGAAAGCATCCTCAGATGACTTTGTAAAAACCAAACTTGACTATGAGAGAGGTGGAGGACAGACTGAAGAAAGTTAGGGAACAATCAGAGAATTTCGGTGTGTTCAGTTCTTGGGGTCCCTCTTTCAGTCTCTGATGCTTAGAGATTAAGGATAATGATTCTTCTGGCTTGTCTGCCTTTTATTCCTCAGTTCTAGGTCAAACCCTGAAAGAGTTTTTTCCTTTTCTTAACTTGAATCATAAACTCAAAAATTAGTTAAAGGCATTTCCTTAACCTAATAGAAGTTTCTCCTTGTCCTCGTCCTCAGTATTCTATGATCATCCAACAATGGAACCATATGACTCTATTGTATGAGGCAGATTGTAATTTTTAGTAACTGTGGTTCTTAAAACTAGCCTCAGTTGATCACACGCTATCTGTTTAACAAATCTGCTCTCTATATTTTGCTAAGGGAAAAATAAAATAAGAGACAAGTGGATACATCCTAACTAGCTACTTAAAATGTTGCCTCAGGAAATAGGAGTTGGCCTAGATTTGATTTCTTCACAGCTGTTAGATTTGAGAAGTCTTAGCTGACACTGTTACATTAATCCTTTCACAGAACATGTTATCCCAAATTTCCAAAATTATCCATGAGTCTCCCCTTTAAAGTCTCCCACCCATTCCATGTGCCAGCCTGGAATACATTTTTCTTCCCAGGAACATCAGAGACTCATAACTTATATTTTAAAAGATGATCCCATCAACTTCAATTCCAACTTTTGTAATACACAACTACAGTTTGTAGTCTAATAGAAATGTAACAGATTGGAGAAACTAGTTGCTTTTAAATTCATAATTCTTTTCCGAGTGTGAAAGGTAAGGGCCTATATATCAAAGTTACCATTTATTCTAACCTTGGCTTTTTTTCCACATGGCCAAGCAAAACAGAACAAAACACCCTAAGCTTTAAACACAGATCATCTGCGCTTTCCTCCTCCAATGCCGTCTCTTGCAGGCTAATAATAGCTATGATTTATTGAACAGCTGAAGGAACTGGCCCAGGATTGGTGGAACTGAAATTTTTCTTTACTTTTTCCCCACTAAAACCTTGTAATGTGTGAAGAAATTATCAGAGACCTGAAAAAAAACAGACCCAGCTCAGTCTCCGACAAGTTGTGTGATCTAAGACGAGGATGAATGTCTCTCAGCACCTTAACTCATTCTGCTATGAAAGGACTGCTGGTCCTTTCCCCTCTGAAACTCTTCAAAAACATGTTATTCGTTTGATGACCCTAATTGGTATTTGCCCCTGGATTGTTCTGTGCAGGCTGGTGGAACATCTGTATTTTGATTATAAAATGAAACAAATGGAAATCCCCCACAATCCATCCAGTAGCCGGGCAGCCAGGAAGACAGTGCACAGGCTCAGCCCAGCCAATCCTGGGCCTGGCTCTGCTTTGCCAGCACTCAGTTAGCCACTCATCTAGTCATTAGCCTTCCTGAGGAATAGAGATTTCTTTTCTACATGCTCTGTAATTTTACAAGTTGCCAGTTTCAATAAAGTGATCCTCTCTATGCAGGGACCAAGGGGTGTCACGCTCACAGGCTCACAGCTCTAGTTGGCATTTCCCCCTTGACTAATTTGGGTCTCAGACAATAAAGAGCCCAAGCCACTAGAGGGTGCTCTTTCACCAGTTAGCTCCCCTGTTTCCAGCAAGGCACATTTACAGGAAGCCATCTGTAGGGCTGACCTGAAATTAGAAATGATTACCCGTTTTATGTTGACACTCCAAAAATACAGTAATGTCTCCCTTTACTGTAACTTAAGTGTCAGAGAACTAAGTAGACAACATTGCCATTCTAACCCAATGCCACCAGCAAGAGGTTAGGACCCAAGGATTATCCCTTAAGAGTCTAACTAGGCCAAAGCATTCCAGAATTTAATGTTCACGTGAATCACCTGTGGATTCTGATTCAGTAAGTCAGGAGGGTGGGCATTTCTAACAACCCCCCAAGTGCTGCTGTTGCTGGTCTAGAGCCCACACTTTTGAGAGGGTAGGGCCACAAAGCATCCGTAAGCCTCTTGGTTTTACCTGTCCCAAGGGGCCATTACTCACATGCTTTGGAAGCTCAACTTCTCCTTCTAGTGATATGGGATCCAAGGTCCTTCTAGAGCTCACACTCCTGATCAGGAGTCCCTTCCCTGCCATGCTCCATCTGCTTTTTGCTGCCTGGGCCTCGCTGTTCCAACTGTCCTGCTGCTGAGTGCCAGGCCCCTGTGTTCTTTTGAAGGTACCCCAGGCTGCACAGCATGGTCGTCCGCTGCTACCTTCTCATCCAGCAGTACTCGGAGGCCCTGATGGCTCTTACTACCATGGCGTCACTACGAGACCACAGCACACCAGAAACACTCAGCATTATGGATGACCTCATCAGCTCCCCAGGAAAAAACAAAAGTGGGAGGGGACACATGCTCATTATCAGGGTGCCCTCGGTGCAGCTGGCGATGTTAGCCAAGGAGCGACTGCAGGAGGTGCGGGACAAGCTGGGTCTACAGTATCGCTTTGAGATCATCCTTGGGAACCCGGCCTCTGAACTCAATGTTGCAACCCACTTTGTGGCACGATTAAAGGTTAGCAAAGGACATACATTAGTTTCTGTTTTCCAGGAATCTGAAATACCATTTGTTTCTGTTTTCCAGGAATCCTATCTAGGTGGCTTAGAGGCCTGAGTTTAGTAGATTTTTGCACGTGTGTGCATTTGATCTCCAGAACAGTGTCAGGGCTAACATGAGGAATATGTTTGCTTTCATTAATTGGAGCCAGATTCTCAAGATTCTGTCAAGCCCCCTTGTTAGCATGTGCATGCAGTTGGTCTCCCTGCTCTCCAACTGCAGGTGCAAAAAATGAGATGACCCCATTTGACCCCATGTTTATTGACCTTGTTCGAGATGCATCTAGCCCACGGCCATCTGTTTTCTCAGGAACAAAAGGTAAGCTGTTCTCTGGGACCTCACTGGGGTCTCCTTTTCAGTATCCTCAACTCACTAATTCTTTTCTGTCCATCTAGCCCATCTGTCAGCTCATGGCTAGAGTCGGTAAAGTATCCCATTTCATCTTCAGTACTCATCTAGAACTGCTTCTAGCCCTTGCATGTGAATTTCTCAATAATTTGTTTTTTCTTTGTACTTGCTTTGACCTTCAGCCCCCAGGCTTGGCTGGACTGAGACTTAGGGCCTCCTACAGAGGAATTTAGTGCATGACAAAGCCAAGCTGCTGCCTCCAGGACTGACTGATTGCCTGTCCCCTACCCCTCCAGTCAGGATGAATCAACTAACCTAACTTCCTACCTTTATGCCTGGCTCAGTTTTTTTGGTTTTTGTTTGTTTGTTTTTCTGGAAACTTTTATAATCCAGTGTGTCCTAGCCATTAAAAAGCACTTAATCAAATACATACATAATGGTATGGAAATGAACTAGGTACTGTACACCTGAGTTAAAATGACATAGTATCTGCACCCTGCATACTAAATCCTAAACTAAATCTGGTTAAGAAAAATCTAGTTTGGCACAAACTTCATGAAAAGAAAGCATGTGGTCTTGGGGAATTTGCATTTTCACCCTGGGTTGCAGTTCCCCATCTATAAAATGAGAAAGTTGGACTGTAATGATTTCCAAGAGCTCGAATTTGGGGATTTTTAGTGTTTATAAATCATTTTGCAAATGCACGCCTTTTTATTATTATACTAGCTAAATTTAATAAAATGCAGAACATCTCACATTAGTTTGATAAGCAACTAGAATAAATTAAATTATCCAAAAATGAAAACTCTTTCCTATATTAAATAGAAGTTGCAACAATTATATTTCAGATCTAGATATGTGTTCACAATTTTTTATTATGATCATAGGCCACATTACAATGGAATTCCCAGGATGAATAACATTTCGGAGATAATAATTTAGAAATAAATAATAAAAAGCTTATTGACACACACAGTTTTAGGTCGGTGATTTGGAAGGGCCAGTCTCTAAGTCAGTATATATCAGTGGATCCTAAATAATTTGTTCCTCTGGGCCATTGTTTGAAAACCATAATCAAGGCCTGAGGTTCTTCACAGCTGGCTCAAAAGAATCACCTGCAGGGCTTTTATAGGGTGATTGGTTGATGTAGCAAGGGACTAAGACCACTATTCCAAGAGACTGCCATACAGAATGGGTCTAAAGCAGTTATATGACCCAGAATTTGTATGTGTAGCTGTCACCCACCACCCACACATAAGGGAGCCCCATTTTCTCAAAACACTGAATCACATCAATCTACCTTTTTTTAAATACTTTTTTTAATTGTAAATGAACCTTTATTTTATTTATTTACATGCGGTGCTGAGAATTGAACCCAGTGCCTCACGCATGTGAGGCAAGCGCTCAACCACTGAGCTACAACCCCAATCCCCAATCTATCCTTTTGATATCCTTTGTTTCGGAGTGAAAATATGAAATCCTATGGGAACATTCACATCTAAGCAAAACTGCCTCTTGCTGGAAGGATTCTGGTTCACCTGTTTGTTTCTAAGTTACCAGCTTCCTTTACCTTTCTCAGGATGGCATAGGGCCTTTATCTCTAGTCCTGGTTAAAAAAAAAAAAAAAAAAATCCCACACTGCTTCCATTATAGGATCTAATGTTTGTGCTTATCCCTAAATATCCTATATGTATTATGCTTAATTTACAAATGTTGACAAGCTCTTTGAAAGGCTATATAGGTTCATATCCAAGTAAATCAGTTCCTCCAACAGGCATATGAAGCTTTCCTAAGATTTCCTTGGTCTTGAGCCACATGTTATCCTGGAACTCAATGCTTGTCTAGTCTTTTCAGTTGTCTGTGTTTCTGTAGTAAAATCCTGAGGGCAGGGTTCATCCATGGAAGAACTGTAGCCATCATTCATCAGAAGTAGCAATGTGGGAGACCATTTTACAGTGGGTTTGGCTAGTTCTGATTGGTCAAGAGTGAGATGTGTGTAATAATCTTCTGAAAATAAATCTCCTTGTGTAGTAAAACATTCTGTTATCCCATCATTACAACCCAACCTCATTACTCATGGTGGAAACCTGAACTGTGGATGGTTTCTGGAAGACAGAGCATGTTTGGGGAGAATCCCATTGTCAGGGATACCATGAATCCAGTGTGAAGGCCTTAAGTAAAATGATTTCTATTTCAGAATTGGTTGCTTTCAATCAAGTAATGTTATGGTTTCCTTTGACATAAAATGGTATGGAAAATTGAATTTTTATAGAGTCTTCTAGTATTTTTAAATCTTTTTGATTTAACAATCTGATTAGCCGGGCGTGGTGGTGCATGCCTGTAATCCCAGCAGCTCGGGAGGCTGAGACAGGAGGATCATGAGAAAAAGAGAGGCACTAAGCAATTCAGTGAAATCCTGTCTCTAAATAAAATACAAAATAGGGCTGGGGATGTGGCTCAGTGGTTAAGTGCCCCTGAGTTTAATCCCTGGTACCCCCCCCAAAAAAATCTGATTGATTTTCTAAGACATGGTAAGTCTCTCAAACTTGTAAATAGTTACATAGATGTACTGATTTTCCCTTAGTATGCATATGTGCATATAAAAAGATTGGGCAACAAGTAAAAGCTTAGAATGGTTTTCTTTCTTCCAGTTTTACAAAATATAAAATTTTTGTTTGAAGTAATGGTGGTATATTTTCTTTTAGAAACTGGTTTCTCTTCATTGGATTTTTTTCTAGACAAATCATTATTCAAACTCAATTATATTATCTTTTACCACATTTTATACTTAGTATAAGAAAATACCCTTGTATTTTAAATCTGTAAGCTGTCTTTACTTTTGAACATCTTTCAAGTTGGTAAAGTTGCTTCCTTTTCATTGATATATTCATGTATTCAAGATTGATGTTAAGGCTACCCGGAGGTGTGTCCATGTATGTGTGTTAATATATATGGCCAATGGATGCTCAGTAGATTCTTTGTGAAACCTTGAGCAAATTGCACTACTCTTTCAAATAAAGGCAGTTTTATTTTTCCTTAGTCCAGCCTGGTTAGCCTGCATTTTTAGCATTCTCACAAGAGATTCTGTGGAGGCCCCAAGCCAACAATTACTTGTTGGTTATTTTTAAAGGCAATAAAGTGAGAAAAAGAAAAAATAACCATCAGAAGTAGCTAACTTTGTTATGTTTTTTTTTCAGTGAAAATTGCTCTGATGGGCTTTTGGGATTCTTTTCTCACTCATACACAACCGAAGCTGTCATTTTTAGTCAGCCAATCCCAAGAGTTTGTTCATTATATGAAGGAAATATGTTTAAGTGTTCACAGGCAGTGCAGTGAGGATTTCCATAAGGTCTGTATCTCTGGTGAGATATTTCACATTGTGTTTTTTAACCTGTATGAGGTATACCAAGGTCTCCTATTTTATCCTATTGAGATAAAAGCTAAAGCCCGTGTTTTCATAAAGTGCTTCATATATGCTTTTTAAGGTAGTGATTAGAATATCTATATACACATTCATACTTAGTGGAAGTCATTAGTAAGCGCAGTGTGTCTAAAATTTGGACCTAGGAACTTTACAAAGGTGGAAGCTTAAATAAGGAGTTTCAGAGTTTTAACTGTTTTAATGGTTCTCTCTCTATAGACATGGAGAGGAAATGAGCCGGAAGAATGGATCCCTCGGACATACCAAGACTTAGAAGGTCTGCCATGTATAGTGATATTAACTGGCAAAGACCCTCTTGGAGAAACCTTTCCCAGGTATAGTCTGAATAACCGAATTCTGCTTGCCACCAGGTGGCCAGCTGCACTGATGATTAAAACTTGGCTGATGCATGCTTATTAGTCTGAGGTAATGAGAAGAAGGTTGTTTCATTCAGGGATGTAAGAATACAGCTTTCCTTCCTTGTCTCTTTCCACTTTCCAGAGAGCACCCTCCAATTCTGGGAATGGAGAGAGCCACATTTTAAAATGTTTGTGCATAAAAGCAAGGCAGCCAGAGAGGCTGAGAGGAAAAGCATAGTTTTTTGTTTTGTTTTGTTGTTGTTTGGTACTGAAGACTGAACCTAGAGTCACTTTCCCACTGGCCCTTTTATTCATTGTTTTAATTCAAAAATTTATTTTATTTTTCTAGTTATCAATGGACCTTTTTAAAAATTTATTTATATGTGGTGCTGAGGATCGAACCCAGAACCTCACACATTCCAGGCAAGTGCACTACCACTGAGCCACAGCCTCAGCATTCAAAATTTTTTTGAGACAGGGATTCATTAAGTTGGTGAGGCTGGCTTTGAACTGTCCATCCTCCTGCTTCAGCCTCCTGAGTAGCTTTGTTTACAGGTGTGCCTCTGCACTGGGCTTTTTTTTTTTTTTTTTTTAACAAAGTACTTTGTTTCTGTTGCTCTGCTATTCCCAATCCCATCAAGGATCTACGGTGCAGAGATTGGAAGGAAGCTCTAACAATATAAGCATCAATTGGATGCTTATGGAGTCCATCGGGCTGTGCCCTAAATACCTTATGTGTTTCATGCTGTCCTTCCTTGCAATGACCATAGTAGGGCTCTGTGTTTTCTATTTGAAAGAAGATGAATTGCAAAGAAGTTCAGGTGGTAATGTCTGGGAGGTGGCAGAACTGAGGTTTGAATCAAGGTGTAGCCCTGGTCTTCACTGCTGCATGACATACAGGACCTACAGGTCCAGCTTAGACACTGCACACCCAGCCCCAGGGACTCACTACCAATGCAATTAATTCTGTGCAGGTCTTTGAAGTACTGTGACCTCCGGTTAATTGACTCAAGCTATTTAACTCGCACGGCCTTGGAGCAGGAGGTGGGTCTGGCCTGCTGCTATGTCTCAAAAGAGGTCATCCGAGGGCCCACTTCCGCCCTGGACCTCAGTGGCAAGGAGCCAGAGAGGGCCCCCGTCATTGAGAATGACTCTGAGGAGCTGCTCATTGACCTGGAGCGGCCACAGAGCAACAGCAGCGCTGTCACGGGAACTTCGGGTAGGTACTGTTTCCTTTCTCACAGGAGGGACAGGCCAGGAGGTGTGCAGGTGTGGAAGGCAGAGCTGTTTACGGACCCCTACTGTGCCCAGAGCAGCCATGGCAACTGTGGCACCCTCTCTAGACCTCAGCTTCCCAGGAGGGCTACCTGGAAAGCAAGGCTGCAGAATAGTCATAGCCTACTTCTCTGGGTAAAAATTTGACCAAGAATTTGATAATAGATTAAACAGAATACATTTTACCAACCCAGCCTGCACCCCGCTCCCTAGCACTTCCCATCCTATCTCCTGTGGTCACTGTACATCTCATATTTGTACAAAAGCCCCCTTTCCTGCCAGGGCCTGAAGCCATAAGTTTATGTTGAGTAGCTTACAGCCCGGAACAAAACATGTTGAGCGAGGGAATAAATGACTTTCCTCAATACTTAGTGGCAAGTGTTCGTAGAGGGCAGGCGTCTCCGGGTTGACTGGGAAGAGCCTCCATGAGCCTGCCGGCCCTTCTTTCAGCATTCTGAATGTGGCCTGGCCTGAATTTCCTTCTGATAAATTATAGGACAGCAAATCCAGCCCTATGTTCTAGTCTTTTCTGATTATGTTAGTAATAAAGCCTAATGTAGAAAACTCAGAGAATGTAACAAGATACAGAGATTCAAAGTGAAACAATCCATCGCCAGAGGTAACTCCAGCAACCTCTGAGGCTGCACATCCCCCCACTCCTTTCCCTTTTTCCTCAACCTATTATTTAGATCATTTTTTCACACACACACACACACACACACAATATTTTGTGTCCAAGGCTGTGCTGGTGTTCCTGTTTATTCTGTCAGCAGCTGTTAGATGGCTCTCTGGGAACTAAAGAGGCCCTGGCCTGTGGGGTTTTCTGTCCTCGCCACCGAGGGCCTGAAGGAGCAGGGGACCCGCCCTTCTCCCTGTGCACAGCTCTCCCTCCACAGGACCAGCCTGCCCCTGTTTACGCTTCCAGCTCCCTCAACCCTATCACTATAAGTCTCCCCAATTTTCCCTCTGAGACTATCTCAACATAAAGTCATAAGATAGTAAAGGGTATCAGAGGAGTACAGGGAAATGTCACCTTTAGGAGCTTTGGGATTCAGGGGGCATCAGGAAGGGAAAGGTGGGGATGGAGGGACACCTGTCTCCCTCCTGCACTTCAGAGCGGATCTGCACCATGTGGCTCCTACACCTCAAGCTCCAGGCAGCTCACACAGAGGAAATGGTTTTCCCTCTGCTGCTTAGTCTCCTGCCCCACGTTAGTTTTCCTGCTCACAACATGGGCATCTGGAACCCCGCTGGTGGGCTCCCTCTGCGGGTGACAGGGCTGAGGGAGTTGTAAAACTCAGAGGAGCAGTGAGTGACTTGGTTTTAATAGCCACCAGCTCAGGACCGCTCAGGTCTGGATCTTGCAAGGCTGGGATTAGACCTACATGCCTGCACAGCACCAGCCTGAGCTGAAAGAACCTTTAGCCGGAGTATAAGGAGCTTGTATTGTCTCAATCAAACAGGCTGACCTGTTGGGGGGGAAACAACATACTCAAAGTTAATTGGCCAAATGTGGAGGAATAGCCCTGGGGGACGTACAACACCTGGTACTGAGTAAGAATGCCTTCCATCCTCTTTTGCACGGGGACATCCCCACCCTAGGGAGCTTAGCCACAGCCAGCCATGTGAGAGGCCTGGAGCCCTAAACCCCACCTCAAGGCAGCCACTGCCACTGTAGGGAACTTGAATCTGGTGCCTGTATCCACCAGGGTCCTGGAGGGATCCCGTGTCATACTGAATGAGTGGGTTGGAGAAGAGTTTAATAATGGGACTGATTCCCCGTGGGCACAATTTTGAAAGGGAGCAACAGGTGACATTGTGCATGGAAAGTTAACCTGGGAGCCCTGTCCACCATCAGGCTTGAAGGAAGGCAGGAAGGAGCAGTTACTGAGACCCAAGAAAGAAAGGCCACCCAGGGTGACCACACAGGAAGAAAGTGAGAACCAACTTCTTGCTGGTGTCTCCCATTGGCCAAACCCATAAAAAAGGCAAAGCAAGGGAGCAGGCTGGAGCGGTGTGGAGACTCAGGCAAAGGGAAGATTTAGCACAGAGTCTGCAGCCCACAGAGCTGGGCCAGGATCCAGCTGCTTTGAGGGCCTTTGCCCTCTCCCTCGGCAACAGTGATGAGTGGGTGTAGGGAAGGTTCTGTCCGTCGTCTTTCAGGTTCCATCATGGAGAATGGGGTCAGTTCCTCCAGCACAGACAAATCCCAGAAGCAGTCCCTGACCCCCAGCTTCCAGAGCCCAGCCACCAGTGTGGGGGTGGACGAAGGTGTCTCGGCCAGCACAACTGGAGCTGGGGACCCCCTGAAGCAGGAGTGTGACTCCCTGGGCCCTCCAATGGCCAGCAGTACCACCTCTAAGCCGTCGTCGTCGTCCTCGGGACCCAGGAGCCTTGCATGGCCAGGGCAACCTCCCAGAGGCTGTAGGGGCCTACACGCCACCCTGCCCCCAATTGTGATCTTATCCAAAGCAGCCTACAGCCTCTTGGGCTCCCAGAAGGGTGGCAAGCTGCCCTCCTCCTCGTCTCTGCTGCCCCATGCTGATGTGGCCTGGGTCAGCTCCCTGCGGCCATTCCTGCACAAGGACATGAGCAGCGAGGAGCAGTCCCTCTACTACCGGCAGTGGACCTCGGCTCGGCAGCACCATGCCGACTTCAGCAACCAGCCCGACCCAGCCTCGGGTGCCCGGACCTTCCACCCCCGGCGGCTGCTGCTCACTGGGCCCCCCCAGGTAGGGACAGGCCAGGCTGAGCCCTGTCCTAGGCTAGGGCTGGCACATCTTGCATGTGGAGAGGAACCAGGGGACCTCCTTGGGGTGGGTGGGGGTGGCAGGCCTCGAGGAAAGACCTCCTTCAGGCCCCCCGGAGTGAGGCGCCAAGGTGTGAAATCTCTTTTCTCCTTCCCTTCCTTCTCTTCCCCTCCCCCGCCCTTCCCCAATTAAAACTATTTCCATCAGGTGGGAAAGACTGGCTCCTATTTACAGTTCCTTAGGATCCTCTTCCGCATGCTCATCCGGCTCCTGGAGGTGGATGTGTACGATGAGGAGGAGATCAATACTGGTGAGTCCTGAGCCGGGCGGGACACAAACGCATTAGACACCAAGTGCAGGGAGCTTGCTTTTGCTTTCTGGGGTTTCTATAATACCAAACTTGCCCTGCCCTGACAAAGGTTACCAAGGTTGAAGACAGGTAAATAATTTTGAGTAAGACTGCCCTCTATCAGTTCCAGGAGGTCAGGAGGACCTCCCTCTCTCCAGTGTCCAGCAAGTACAGGGCAACAGGCATTTGATAAAGGCTTGTTAGGCACCTTAATTCCTAGATGGCCAAACTCATAAAATCCCAACTTGTAGTGTTCAATTTTGTAAGGATCCAGGGAACATTTATATTTTTAATTCCAGTCCTTTGTTGGTTAGCCAGAGTGTATCTTATATTTTAACCTCAGGTTGTGTGTGAAGGTGGAGGATTACTATAAGGAAATGAAAACTTCCTGAGTGTAGAACCGAACACCTATGCTACCGCTTCCCCTCTGCAACAAGAGACGATGGAGGGGCTTGCAGGGCTGTGGGGTCCAGTGTGCCAATAAAGATCTCCTGAGGGCTAGGGGTGTAGCTCCGCTGTGGACCCCTTGCCTAGTGTGCTGCAGGCTCTGGGTTAGATCCTTGGCATCAAACCATAAACCTTTCATGCTGACAGAAGTTGTGGGAGGCAGCAGAGGGGGCCTGGCAGAAGTTCTTCTGAGTCCCTCAGAGACGAGGACTGCCCTTGACATCTTCTATCAAATCAGTTCTTGGAGAGCTTATCTCACTTGTTTTTCTTAAAATAGTTGGGCCTGTTCTATGAACAGCCCCAAGACTAATGCAGATACAAATAGATAAAAATCAGCCACGTTTAATCATTTTGTTATGGCTTTAGCCCTGTACCCATTCCTCACTAATCCACATCTATGATTTCAGAGACACACATACAATCTCCCCCACCCACATCTCTTTGTGTCCCCAGCTAAGCTGCATCAAATCCCCCGGGGCCCACCACAGAGGAGAAGGAGAGCTTCAGGGTGGCCTCAAAACACCCCAAGCCTTGGAAAGGGGCTGGGACCAAAAAGACAAGCCTTTGGGAGCCAGGGCCCTGTTGTTCCTGCCAGCTCTCCCACCAGGCTCCCTGACAGCACAAGGAAGCGATGCCTTTGATTTTTATCCTCAGATTGTACAAGAGAGGTCTCAAATCTTCCTCTGCTCCTGAGGCTGTGGTTGTCCATCCCAGCCGGTCTGATGGAAGAGCCTGGGCTTTCTTCGCACTCACTCTAGTGCAGGTTAACACAGTGGTGCTATGGAGAGGCACAGTGACACTTCCTTAAACTAGAATAAAACTTGAAATTTTAAATAAAATACAAAATTCAACTCAAGGCATAAAAGTACTTGTTTGTGCTAAAATAATAACGGCAGCACTTCCAGTCTTTTAGGCTTCATTTTCCACCAAAGTGTATTTCTTTCATTCCCTCTTTAAGCTACTTTTCTTTTTGCGGGGTGGGGGAGGTAGGATACTAGGGATTGAACCCAGAGGTGCTTAAACACTGAGCCACATCCTTAGCCCTTTTTTAATTTTTTGAGACAGGGTCTTACAAAGTTGGTGAGGTTGACCTTAGCCTCCTGAGTTGCTGGGATTTCAGGCATGCACCATACCTGGCTTAGGCTGCTTTTTGATCTTACATATTTTACCAATAGCATCATCTACTAGACACCCACTCTGCCTGCCATTCCAAGAAACCATCCCTAAAGCTATAAGAACTCAGGCACTTGGAGGGGTTAAGTTTGGTTCTTATAGGTGTAAAGCAGTATTCAAGCCCCAGCCTAACCTTGACCACACAATGGAATGATCTAAGGAGCTCTGGCAGCATGGTGGGTACCTGGGTAACAAAAGAGATCCTGCCTTTACTCTTGTGGTGGGTGGGGCCTGAGAGTGGGGTTTCATGAGCTTCCAGGTAATTTTAATGTACAGCAGACACTGGCACTCTCATCTTGAAGTCTCTTGGGTGTCAATATCTTAAAACCCCATAACTAAAACTCTTTTAAGAATTTAAATCATCCAAATAAACAAGTTTTTTTTTTTTTTTGGTGTGTGTGTGTGTGTGTGTGTGTGTGTGTGTGTGTGTGTTTTGGTGGGAAATTCAGTTGATCTAATGGATACAAGAGTTTCTGAACTGGATCTATAGAGACTAGTGTAGGGGTGAACACTCCTTGCTTGAAGGAATAATTATGGCTTTTTCTGTCCTGGGATAATGGGGCTCATTTTTTCAGAAATGCTTTGTTTACCCATCTGGGCTTTATGCTTCAGAAAACCTCTTCCTGACACTGTGGAGGGAGGGAGGGAGAGAGGGAGGTAGGTTAATCTGCCTGTTCTGCACACTTCCTTCTTGTCCTAGATCACAGTGAAAGCAGTGAAGTGAGCCAGTCAGAGGGAGAGCCCTGGCCCGACATCGAGAGCTTCAGTAAAATGCCTTTTGACGTCAGTGTGCATGATCCCAAGTACAGTCTGATGAGCCTGGTGTATACGGAAAAGCTGGCAGGGATCAAACAAGGTCAGTGCAAGTGCAGCCAGGCTTACCTCCTGCAAATCCAAGGATACCAGAAAATCAGGACACGAGGCCTGGGGCAGTTCAATCTTTCGGAACAGTTTAAATAATTCTCCCAGTTTTCTCTTCTCTTTCTTATTTACACACATCATCTTTTGATTTTCTTTTTTTTTAAGTATTTATTTATTTTTTTAATTGTAGTTGGATACAATACCTTTATTTATTTTTATGTGGTGCCGAGGATTGAACCCAGGGCCTTGCCCGTGCTAGGCAAGCGCTCTACCACTGAGCCACAACCCTAGCTCATCATTTGATTTTCATACATTCCTCTCAGGGCATAAATTATAAAATTCTTGGAAAAAAATCCTTTTGGAAAATAGAGGATGTTTTTTTCCCCCAGGTACAGGGGATTTACACACATATTATGGAATGATGGTTTTCTACCCCTTTTATACACAGAAGTAATAAAGGAATGCAAAATTGAGGAGCCCCGGAAACGAGAAACTGTATCCATGATGCTGACCAAATATGCTGCCTACAACACCTTTCACCACTGTGAGCAGTGCCACCAGTATATGGACTTCACCTCTGCCTCCCAGGTGCAGCTCTCACCTTTGCCCCTGCCTTACATCTCTGTTACCAATAGGGATTTGCGTGTAAGGATAGGGGCGGAGGGATATAACATAAGCCCCTAGATAAAGTATAGCTTATTTATGAGAAACAGCTACTCATTGGTGAGAAAAATGCATGAAGCAATGATTAGATGAGCTTTGGACTTACAGGGATTGTGGGAGGGTAAGCAGCTTAGTTTTAGGGGCTTAAGTTACTTCATGTGTCATGTTTAGGTTAAAAAGCTGAGATGCTTATCTGTGATTCTGAAAAAAACTAGATATTACAGTATGCTCAGTAAAAGCCACCGCCCCGCCCCGCCTTGGGTTGTTGACTAAAATGGCAGGAGTCCATATGGTGTGTCCTAACAAGTCTGATTTTTCACCAATCTAGGCACATATTACTTCTTGGGATGATTTTGACCAGTGGAGTCAATGTTTCATGCAGTGAAAGAAACACAGAAAGTGAGCCATTATCCCTTAGCATTTGGCTTTTTGTGTGTGTGTGCTGTGGATTGAACCCAGACGATCACGTGAATGCTTAAGCACTCACTGAGCTACACCCCCAGCACAGTATTTTTGGCTAGTGCATCTTTAAACACAAGAGAAGGGAATGGTAGCAAATGACAGTAAAACCTAGAGCCTGTCCATGCTGCTTTCTGCAAATTTATCTTCTTGATTTTATTTATTTATTTATTTACTTACTTATTATTTATTTTTCGGATTATTTGGAATTTATTATGTCTACTAGGCATGAAAGTCAGAAAATCCAGTAGAGAGTTGTCTATAGGACTGTGGATCAGTATACAATTTGGAGTTGATAAAATAAAACACTTAAGGCTTCAGAAATAAATCTCTTTATATATTTTTTTTTGTTCTGATCAGTTATACATGACAGCAGAATGTTCTTTGATTCATTGTACACAAATGGAGCACAATTTTTCACTTCTCTGATTGTACTCTTCTTGATTTTAATGAGTTGGCACTGAGCACCTAGAAACAACTCTTGCTTCTTTGAGGCCATGCTGAGTGGATCCCCCAACCTGTTTCTGCTCCTCAGGACCAGGTCCTCACCCCTCCCCTGCATCACATCCTGAAATACAAATGGACACTGGAAAGGACACATTGAAAAACTGGAATACAGATCACCTTTTGTACACTATTTGCTTGCTTGGTGGGCTACTTTGAAATCAGCTTTAATGCTTTACAGAATACAGAATATGCAAGTCCTCTGATCTATAAACCATAAGTTTTTAGAAAAATTTTAAAATCCCTTTTCATAAAGGTTTATTTATTTTTTGGTACTGGGGATCTAACCCATTGAGCTACACCCCCAGCCCTGTTTATTTTGAGACAGGGCCTCACTAAGTTGCTGAGGGTTTAGCTAAATTGCTGAAGCGGGTCTTAATCTTGCGATCCTCCTGTCTCAGCCTCCAGAGTTACTGGGATTACAGGCATGCACCCTATGCCCAGCTTTTTCATATATAAAGTTTCTGTATGACTACAGTAATAAGTAATATATTTCCACATCTGTGAAGCAGAATAAACTAGAATTTTTTTTTTTTGAGAGAGAGAATTTTAATATTTATTTTTTTAGTTTTTGGTGGTCACAACATCTTTGTTTGTATGTGGTGCTGAGGATCGAACCCGGGCCGCACGCATGCCTGGCGAGCGCGCTACTGCTTGAGCCACATCCCCAGCCCCAGAATAAACTTGAATTTAAAGGAAGAACCATAATATTGTTTTTTCTAAGAAATGTAATATTTGGGTTAAAACTATTGAGAAACCATTCTGGATTCTGGTTACTGAGGAATAACTGATGTTATCTTTCATTAAGCCAAATATTGTCTGCATTTTGTAAAAGCATGTAAAAACCTATTATATAATTATTCAGAGATGGGCTACTGAGAGCACGTGAACTTCCCAGCAACTTGGCTAGGATGAGTAAATGGTCCTTCCCTAAAGCCAGAATTTGGGACTAAATGACTGTGTCTTTACAGCTTCCAGTGCAGCCAGGAAAGATGGAGCCACAGAAGCCAATTCAGTGGTGTCAGTTCTACTTTGTTTAGAAAGCTCAAATTCAGTTCATTCAACCCTGGCTCACAGAGCATTAGTGTTTCCCCCTGTAACTGGGGGCCTTTGGGAATGTGCACATAGCAGAACACACCAGAGGGAGGTCTGATCTCTGCCTAAGACTGAGCAATTGAGCCCTAAGAGCATGAAGAATGAAAAGACAGTGGCAGCAACAAGTCCTTCATCCATGGAGAGGCCACACAGGGCAAGATGCCTAGCTCTCATGTCAGTGGAAGCTACTGTGTGTTGAAGCTTCCCACCCTTGTAAATGTTGCTACCCTCAGCCTGAAGACCTGGTGACACTTGTAGATGTCAGTTTGCCTCTTAATAACAAGGCCAAGGAGGGACCAGGAAGTCTGGAAACCCTGAGCTTACATTCCCTTTCTTCTTTTCAAATGTAGATGTCTGACTCCACCCTTCATGCATTCACATTTTCTTCCTCTATGTTGGGAGAAGAAGTTCAGCTGTATTTCATCATCCCCAAATCCAAAGAGAGTCATTTTGTCTTCAGCAAGCAGGGCAAACACCTGGAGAGCATGCGGCTGCCTCTGGTTTCAGACAAGGTGGGTGAGAGGTCTAGATGGTTGCCAGACACCCGGCACTAGATCAGGTTCTCCAAGCTGCTCATATCTGAGGGTTTTACTTTCCCTTTTTGGTCTTACTTTTTGGTTTTACTTTTCCTTTTCAGCAGAATTTGAATGCAGTCAAGAGCCCTATTTTCACTCCTTCCAGTGGTCGCCATGAGCATGGACTCCTAAACCTTTTCCACGCCATGGAGGGCATCAGCCACCTTCACCTTCTAGTGGTCAAAGAATATGAGATGCCGCTGTACCGCAAGTACTGGCCCAACCACATCATGCTGGTGCTTCCTGGCATGTTCAACAATGCAGGCGTGGGTAAGGGGCCCCCTGGGATGGGGAGAAGGGCTAAGCAAACTGAGCTCCATTCCCCTGCCATAAAACTTCCAAAGGTTTCTCTGCCTCTGGACGGTGTCCTGCTCTCCTGGCCAGAAGTCTTTTGACGCTTTGCATTTCTCTATGCCCCTTACTACCTTTTCTGTAGTTTTGCAGAAATTTTAACTTCCAAGGACTAGTAACTAAGGAAGTCACTGTAATATTGAGCACCCTGGGAAGGGTTTAAGATTCTTCCCAGGAACTTAGTCCTTTGAGGCCAGAATGTAACCCTGAAAAGAAAGATGATTTGAGGGGAGGTAGTGTTTCACCTGTTCTTAAGAGTCCCTGACTCACTGTCCTCCTAGGAGCACATACCAAGTGCTAGCAGACGGCAACCCGTCCAGGGAATTGGAAGAATCATTCCTGCTTGGAAGGAGTCTTTTCTGCTTTTCCCCAGGGAGTTTAGAAATAATGAATTAATTTCTCAAAGGGGCAATGGTTGCAGAATATAAAGCAGAGCTGTGGGGAGGTAATGGAGATACCAAAAACACTTCATTTTCCTTACATAGATGGGAAACCTCTCACTGAATGTGTTGTTTTGGAACCATACGATTCTGTACACTTCAGACACTGCAGTTCTCATTATTTCCATCAACTTCTATGGGTGTCTGAATATTTCATTGTGATTTATCTCCATTTCCCTAATGATTAGGAATGTTATCTTTTCATGTGCTTTTTGACTGTATGTCTTTAGAAAAATGCTCCGCAAAGTCTTTTGCCCATGAATCATTTTATTGTTGAGATCATAGGGATTCTTTACATATTGTGGATATTAACTCCTTATCAGATGTTATTACAGATATTACACCCATTCCATGTATAGCCTTTTCACTGTGTTGTGTTCTTTAATACATAAAAGTTCTTAAAGAAGTCCAGTTTTTCTGTTTTTGCCACAGATCACTGCCTAATTCAATATCATAAAGACTTCCCCTGTATTTTCTTCAAAATGTTTTACAGTTCTAGCTTTTATGTCTAGGTCTGTGATCCAGTTTAATTAATTCTTGTATATAGTGTAAAGGAAGTAAGTTCATTTCTTGGCATATAGATATCCAGTTCTGCCAACACCAACTGATGATGAAACGGTCCTTCCCTCATTTAATGGCTTTGACATCATTGTTGACAATCATTTAACTATATATGAGAGGGTTTGTTTCTGGGCTTTCTGTGTCTGTATGTCACTCCCACAGTTTTGACAAAAATGGTTTTATACAAGTTTTAAAATTAGTACAAAATTTCTAATTTTTTGAGACATATTTGTACATTTTTTATGGATTATGGTACTTCAATATGCATATAATGTATAATAAACCAAATCAGGGTAATAAGGACTTCAGTCTTTTCAAATGTTGATCCTTTTTATGTGATGGGGACATTTAGTGCTGTTTTCTTATCATTTTGAAATAAATCATAATTTGCTATAGCCAAATTAACCTTCTGTGCTATACAGAAAACCAGAACTAATCCCTCTTTTCCATGTGTTTGTGCTCTTCATTGGGCTTTTCCCCATCCCTTCCTCCTGGCTACACTTCCCAATCTCTAGCAAGCACACTGCACTCCATTCTTCTAAGAGATCAGCTTTTTAGTTTTCATAAGAGTAAGAACATGGGTATTTCTCTTTCTGTGGCTTATTTCACCTCCCATAACACTCTCCAGTTCTTCCCATGTTTCTGCAAATGGCAACTTCGTTCTTTTTTATGGTGGAATAATCTTCCATTGTGTGTACATATACCACACTTACTTTATCCATTCGTCCACTGATGGGCATCTAGGTTGATTTTATATCTTAGCTGTGGTAAATAGTGCTATAATAAACATGGGAGTGCAGATATCTCTTTGATATGATTTCATACCAATATTGGGATTGCAGGATCATTTAGAAGTTTTTAGTTTTTAAAGGAATCTCTGTGCTGTTTTTCAAAATGGCCGTATGAGTTTACATTTCCCAAAAATAGTGTATAAGATTTCCTCATTCTCTGCATCCTGCGGCATCTTGTCTTTTTGATACCAGTCATTCCAACTGTAGTGAGGTTTACTTTTGTCTTCTGTACCTTTGGGATCCTATCTAAAAAAATCATCGCCTACACCAATGAAACCTGCCACTTTGGCTTGTAAAATTTTTGTTCTTACACCTAGGTCTTGAATCCATTTGAGATGACTTTTGTGCATTTACAGTGGTCTAGTTTCATTTTTCTACATATAGATATCCAGTTTTCCTGCCACAATTTATTTGAAAAGGTTGTCTTTAATAAACATTTGTAGCATCTTTGTCAAGAATCGGTGACTGTTAGGTGTGTGGAATTGTCTGTTGTCTTCTGTTCCATTGGTCTACGTATCTATTTTGATGCCAGTACCATTCTGCTTTTGTTACTATGGCTCTGAAAGTAATATAATCTGAAATGGGGTACTGTGGTATCTCCAGCATTACTTCTTTTGCTCAGAACTGCTTTAGCTATTCTGGGCCTTTTGTTCTTCTATATGAATTTTAGGATTTTCCTCCTAGTTTTATGAAGAATGTCATTGGAATTTTGTTGGGGATTGCATTGAATCTGTGGATCCCTTTTAGTAATATGGCCATTTTAACAAAATGGATTTATTTTTGATTTTTTTTTTTAATAATTTTTTACTTTCTCCTTTTTTTCCCTTTCTCCTCACTTTTTCTTTTGTATCTTTCGTTTCCCCCATTTCTTTCCTTATTATTTTCATACCCTTTATGATTTAGTGTCTATTTTATTTCCTTTAATACCAAAATTTTCTGACTAGAGTATTTGTCTTCTTTTCTATTTTTAAATTAGTGGAGTTGGAGAGAACATTTCAATGCCTTATAAACCTTGTTAGTATATGGTCTGCTTGCAAATGTCTAGTGATTATCATCTCCTCTCAAAATGGTGTTGGGAACTGGTCATATCACTCTGAACCCATGGTGGGCTTTGATGCTGAGATACACCAGCAGCCCAGGGCACAAAGCAAAGAGAAAGCAGCTCACTAAAATACTTCTACAGTTGAAGAGGTATCAAACCCAGCAGATACACAAATCTCAACAAAGAAACACAGAAAACAAGGTAATAAGATCCTTCCAAAGGTTTTTAACTTCCCAGTAATTGAACCCAGAGATATTGAAGATGAAGTGCTGGACAAAGAATTTTAAAAGCTGATGATCAAAGCAGTCAATGAATTAAAAGAAGAATAAAGGGAAGAAAAAAAACAGGAAGTGAAAGAATACTTCGATACTCTGAAAAAGAACCAAATAGAAACCTTAGAAATAAAAAAAACAAAAACTAGTAATTCAAATGTAATCAAGTGTCACCATTAGACTAGATCAAGCAGAAGAAAGGATATCAAGGCTCAAAGATTCAGGATTCAAACTTCATACTCATAAATTCTGAGTCTCTCCCAAAAGGACAGAGTAAAAAATTAGAAAAAAAAAAAATCAAGAATAAATCCAAATAAACATTTTAAAAACATAAAACTGGATATCAATATCAAATAATGGGGGGGCAGGTATCTGACCACAGTCAACTCAGAAGACAATACAGTGAAATAAAAAATGTTGAAAATATTAGAATTCCTCAGGCTTTGGCTCCTGTCCACCCAGGCTTCATCCCACCCAACTCTTGTACAAACTTAATAGGTGGTGACATGTTCTCTTTGTTGCTGAGAGGTAATGGCCCCTGGAGTGTCAGTTAACTCCTTCACGGGCACCCTGCAAGTCCCGGCAGCAGTGGCAAGCCTTGGTGGCTTTCAATTGCACAGCACTCATGCAATTTTTGGTATACAGTCAGATAATCATACCATGACCTTCAGACTGGTTATTTCTGGTGTGCAGAAATGTAACGGATTTGGATTGCTTATTGGTCTAACAGGGTTTTCTGTGGAATTTTAAGTATTTTCTTCATATATGTTTTCTGGGAGGTGGTTTTTATTCATCTCCAATTTGAATAACTTTTCTTTTTCTGGCCTAATTGTTCTGGCCAGGACTTCCATACTATGTTTAAATAAAAGTGGTAAAATTTTTAAGGATTTGCATTTAAATCTCAAAAAAGATTCCTTTTCATAATCTTAGGTTAAGTAGCATTTATCAAGAAATTTTCAGGAGAAAAGATCAGTCTGTTCTCATCATTGTTATGTATAAAACTAAGAAGTAAGCATTTTTCTTACAGCATTGGAATTCATTGAAAGATTGCATGGCATAAACAGGAACGAATAAAACCAACATCTTTTTTGATGTAAATGCCAATCTTTTGTTAAGTAACACTGTAAAAATTAGCTATGCGTATAAGGAAGTAGTAAACTGCTCTGGGGGGAAAAAAAAAAAACATAAGTGGTGAAAGTAGGCATCCTTGTTCCTGATCTTGGAGCAAAGATCTTTAGTCTTTCACTACAATGTTGTTACTAATGGGCTTTTTGTATATGGCTCTGTGTTTAGAATGCTAACTATTACACACATGCTCTTAGTAGGCTTTCCCAAATTCCAATTATTATCCAAACTGTCCTGGGTTCCTCCATCAGTTGAATAACGTTCTTTTGTTTTATTATCACATTTTCATTTTAAGGTGGCTTAAGTTTGGCTATTTCCTGATGATCACCATTTTAAATAATTGCTAATACTGAATACTTACTGTTTGCTAGACACTATCTTGTCATTGTTACCTGTTCCAGAAAGGGAAGCCAAGATTGAGTGGAATTAACTTGTTCAGTGTCACAGGCTAGAACATGGTGGAATCAAAGCAAGAGCTTGACTCTAATCTGTTTCTTTATTATACCATACTACCTCTTGCAAAAAGTACATCTAAGGGAAGGGTACAAAATTCCAGAGTCGTCTTCAGAGAGACGCTGCTGGCAACTCCCTAAAGGTATCTAAAGCAAAAGACTCATCAATGCAAGTAGCACTGCCATTAGTCACAGCCCTGGCTACTCCCTAGTGCAGGACATATGAGTGGATACTTCTAAGCCTAACATTCTATGAGGAACTAATTAAAAAGCATCCCAGGGAAACTGGATTCCTCAATACTCCTCAAAGTATAGTTCATGCATCTTCAAAGATTATCTCTGGTCTCTGATCCTTTACCAAATTTAAGCAAATCTGCAGAGACGGGTCTTAGGAATCTACATTTGAAACTGACTTCCCTAATGACTCTTAAAGAGAACCACTGCTCTGAGCATTTGGGTGGCTCTGCCAGGTGCATGTGAAGAATGGGGAAGTGCTGGAGGGGCTTCAGTGAAGGGTGTGTATACATTGGTTATGCTGCCTTCCAGGTGCTGCTAGATTCCTCATTAAGGAGCTGTCATATCACAACCTAGAACTGGAGAGGAACCGCCTGGAGGAGCTGGGAGTTAAACGCCAGTGTGTCTGGCCTTTCATCGTTGTGATGGATGATTCGTGTGTCCTATGGAACATTCACAGTGTTCAGGAGCAGACCAGGTAGTGATTCTTCCAAGCAGTTCTAGGGGAGTACAACACAATGCTAACAAAGAAGATAATTTTTCTTGGCTGCAGTTACATATAGATTAAAAAACAGAGTTAGAGCTTTCCGGAGAGCAAGGTCAACACCCTCACGAGTACATTTTGAGATGACTTAAAGGATTTTTTTTATTTAGACATTCAGTATGCCATTAAATTCCTAGACTATTTCTGCATCACAGTGTTGGTCAACTATCAATCTGTTAAAAACTTATCATTTATCTAGAAACACTGCTGGCTTCTGTATCAGGAGAACTGCTTTTATAGTCCCAGCTATTTCTCAACGATGTGGGTGAAGAAGAAAAGTCATTGAATCTCTCAAGTCCTTCACCTGTAAAATTATGGCAGGGCCAAAATCAGTTGTTGTTGTTGTCCAAGAACACTGCTGCCCTCCTATGGGGCATTTGAGGATGTCATGATGTTAGGAGGCAGTCGTTGGGGGTTCATAAGGACCAGGGAATGCTAAACATTCTAAAATCCTACACAATAAATAACCCTATGAGTTCAGTGGTGTCCCCACTCAAAATATTGTGCCAGATGACCTCTACGTCCTTTCCAGCTCAAGAACTGTGATTTTTCAGTCCTTGTTTCCATTGTGGATGTGAAACCAATGAATTTTTCACATGTTCCTCTATTACCAGAGCATACTTTCATGCTTTTAACTTCTGGCTTTCTTTGGTAACTACTGTTCATTTACTTTCAAACATAGCTGGATTCCTTCCCGTCTTCATGTGATAAATCCTGGCCCCTAAAAGACAGGCTCTACAACTTCCTAGTGACAGGCAGTGTCAACACTGAGCTTAAACACTGTTCTCTATTCTAGGCTAATACAAAGCAAGTTAGCTCATTATGACCATTACAGTATTATTATTGCACAGCAGTGTTGGTCCTTCATAAATGGTCCTCTCTTCAGTAATAAATTTATTGACATTTTATATAAACTAACATTTTATAGCCAGTCCATGGAAGCAGGAGTGTCCAGTAAGAATGTGTCCTTGAAGAGTGTCTTGCAGCATATTGAAGCCACACCAAAAATCATCCACTACGCAATCCTGGGTATACAGAAATGGAGCAGCAAGCTGACTTCTCAGAGTCTCAAGGCCCCATTCTCTAGGTGCCATGTGCATGATTTCATTCTTCTCAACATAGACTTGACTCAGAATGTGCAGTATGACTTCAACAGGTAGGTCAGGCCTCATGGATGCAAGTACTCTTGGCATCTAATGATTGTTTATGCCCAGTTCCAGCCTCAGCAATGTTTTTATTCCTTCATCTGTCTTGGATTGTAAGCCCCTTCATCACCCTTTGAACTACCTAGATCCTTAGATGTTAGAGTGCAAAATACTTAGAAAACATACTTTAGCCATGTTATTATCCAACGAGAACTAAAATAGGCACAAAAACTGTTTGTAAGACTAAAATCCTTATCCTCAGAACTCACAAGAAAATTGCTTCCCAAAAATGTTAGTAAAACCCAGAGATCTGGATCCTATAAGGAAAAGGTAGCAGATGAGTATAAGGCAGGCTAGCCCTGGCCTTGCCTCCTGAATAAATTATGTCCATATTCCTGGAAAATCAGAGAAAGACAAAGAAAACTGCTAGGAACCATAAAGCCCCTCCCATGTCAACCCTTGACATTGTAGCCATTAGAATTTAACTACTGCTTCCACTTCCTTGTTTTCAATTTGGCAGATGCTTTGTCTTGTTTGAAGCCAGAGTATACAAAATATAAACTACTGCTTCTGCACAGGAATACCTAAAACCCTGTAGCATATTTAACAAAAATAATTTCATTTCCTCCTCCAATGGCTGTGATGCTCAAATTAGGAGTTTTCATGGGTCAGTGCTATGAGGACCAGCTCCATAAGGGCAAGGACAATTGTTTTGCGCTCTCCCTAACATCTGCCATAATTTCTCTGTGTATAGTTGGCATGGGTGACGATGTGACAAGCAAAGAAATCTACCTATCATTGTGATTATGATCTAGGTATTTCTGTGAAGATGTTGACTTTAACCTGAGAACAAACAGTAGTGGCCTGCTCATCTGTCGCTTTAATAACTTCAGCCTCATGAAGAAACATGTTCAGGTTGGCGGGCAAAGGGACTTTATCATTAAACCAAAGATCATGGTAAGATTTGCAAGCTTGATTCTGTTGAAAATAAACATAATTCTTTCTGATATATTTGTTATTAGATACTGGCATTAAGCACTTTCCACGTTAGTAGAAAGTAAAGTAAACCAAGGGAGTTCTTTCTTTTTAAAGTTTTTTTAAGGTTTTTTAGTTCTGAGTGGACACAATATCTTTATTTATTTTTATATGGTGCTGAGGATTGAACTCAGTGCCTCACACATGCCAGGCAAGTGCTCTACCACTGTTAGCTATGACCCCAGCCCCCAAGGGAGTTCTTGATGTTATCTAGGGATTCACCTAGAGCCAAAACAAAAGTTTTAACAATTTAATATAATTATTTTTCTTTAGATTTAAGAAAGTTTTCATCAAAGTTTTAGTTTCAAAATGGCAAACTTTACATTTTAGTATTCCTAGGTAATTAACATGAGAGAGAAATTTAAATCAAGATGCAAGTCTGATCCTTTCCCAGATTTATTTTTACATAGTAATACAGATCAAAATAAAAGAGTGAATTTAACGTAAAGAGTGAATTCCATGAGCCTACTTTTTTCTAAGAGATTTACTAATACCTGATCACTTACAGCATGTGAACTGTCCAGTGGATCTTAGAAACCTCTTGGCCTTTTTTGTGGGGCGGAGGGGGCAGTGGGATAGGATTCAAACCACATGCATCTAGCAGCATTAGAAATGGCTTTCTATTGAACTGTACAATGTACTTGTTAAATGTAGTACATTTCAAAAAAGCTTACTTACAACAAGCTTGCTCTTACTGTGTATAACTTATTTTAAATACTATTATACTATTTCCAAAAGAGGGAAAAATTCAGCACCAAAAATGACTGTCATAATATTTGAATTTAGCATGTCACTGTGCTATTGATAATGCAGTCATGCCCCATTATCTGCAATTTTAGTTACCCACGGTCAACCATGGCTTGAAAATATTAGTATGTCTTGATTGTCAAGAGAGCACATAACCTTTATTACAGTAAGTACACTACTGAACTGTCCCACTGCATTATTGCTGTTAACCTCTTTTTTTAAAAAAATATTTTTTTAGTTGTAGTTAGACACATTATCTTTATTTTTTATGTGGTACTGAGGATCGAACCTAGGACCTTGCACATGCTAGGCGAGTGCTCCATCGCTGAGCCACAACCCCAGCCCATTAATCTCTAATTTTTAAATTGAACTTTATCCCAGGTAATTATGTATAAAAGAAAACAGTGTACACAGAATTTGATACCATCTAGGATTTCAGGCATCGATTGAGGGCCTTGTAACATAACCCTCTTGAATATGGGGGAATAGTATCTGGAAATATTAGGATGCAATACAATGTGTCCTTGGACATTTCATCTAGTAACAGACACAACATTTCCTATGATTACCTTGGCTCTTGATTTCAGGTGTCGGAGAGTTTAGCTCCCATCTTGCCCCTTCAGTATGTCTGTGCACCCGACAGTGAACACACGTTACTGGCAGCCCCTGCGCAGTTTCTCCTGGAGAAGTTCCTTCAGCATGCTGCATATAAACTCTTCCCCAAAGCCATCCATAACTTTAAGAGTCCTGTGCTGGCCATTGACTGCTACCTTAACATTGGACAGGAGGTAAAGGTGGGGGTGGCTAGTACTGTGCTTACCTACATCCATTTCTTTCCCATTTAATTTGGTTTGAAAACTTAAATAGTGACAAAAGGAAGTCTATAACGTACTCTGCAAAGGCTCACATATGAGGTAATGGCAACTGTCCCTCCTCATCCCTATTTCACCTTTACAGAATGAGCCAGTGACCAATCATAGCTTAGCTCAGATGTCCTATAAGAATCCTACCTCAAAAAAATAAATAAATAAAATAAAAAAGAATCCTACCTACCTCAATGACATTGGGCAGAAGCAATTTCTAGCTCCCACCTGACTTGACATTTATTAGACACTATTATAATTACATGAATCCATTCCATAATACTGCAATGTTCAGAGAAAGTACCTTAAAAACCATTTGATATAATAATACTCTTGATGTTTTATCTATATAAATTATGTGTGTACCCCAGGTCTTCCAATTCCACTATCCCAGAGTCCAAAGCACTCAGTATTAGATAACCTCAATACTACTCTTCTACTAACAGCAACTAACATTTACTGAATGCTAAGTGGTTTACATTAATTTAACTCACAAATGCCTTATGAATCAGGTAACATTTTTCTCAATATAAATGAATCTACTCCACAATACTGTAATTTACATGAGTAACACTAAGGTGTAGCAAAATACATTTTCCCAGTGCCATACAGCCACTAAATAGAGAAGCCAGAATGTGAACGCAAGCTGACTGGCTCACACATTAGCCATTCCACAGTTCTACTCCCAACTACTTTATAACTTCACAAAAATCACAGGGAAGTATACATTCTGCATCTGCAAGCTTTATAGAGCTAAAATTTTTAATTCATGCAGTCTGCACCTCCTGGGGATTGAACCTAGATCCTTGTGCATGCTGGGCAAGTGCTCCACCATTGACATACAAAAGCCCTGCCCTCATGCTGTTTTAAAATCCTACCCAACTGAAAATTTTGTCTAGATGAAAAGCTAATTAATTAAAATTATTTTTATTCTCAAGTAACCTAAACATTCTCTTTCCTAAATATACTTTTTAAAAAATGAAAGATAGTCCTTTTTAAAATTTTATATTCTTTTTATGGAGTTTTTCTCCTAAAATGAAATTAATATTAAATCTCTGTCACAATAGTCCTTTATTATGAAAAATGGGAGACATTTTAAACAGGTTAAAACTCGGTATACTAAAAAGGAGATGAATAGCATAAATAACCACCACTCCTAACACTGAAAAAAATTCAGCTTCTTTGTCTTACTGAAAAAAAGAGGAAGGCACTAACTCATTCAACTAAAATGCAGGTGATTTGCTTGCTTTTGAAATCCCCATGCTATTTCTGCTTGTTGCTTTCAGGTGGCCATATGCTACATCAGCTCCAGACCCCATTCCAGCAATGTCAACTGTGAAGGGGTGTTTTTCAGTGGACTCCTTTTGTACCTCTGTGACTCTTTTGTAGGTGCTGATCTTCTTAAGAAATTTAAGTTTTTAAAAGGTAAATCAAATTAAGTATCTTGAATATGAATGTCACTGGTTCCCACTAGGAAAAAATTCAGGTTTTTTTTTTTTCTTTCTTTAATGCATTTTAACACTGATTTTGGCCAATAATTTGGATACTTGGTTATCTGGTTATCTTGATTTTAAACCAGAGCCACTGGGGAAAAAAGATCATCAAATCATTGTTATTTATGACTAAATGCAGGTGAACAGAGTTGTGACAACATTAAATACAGTTTTGCCACTGTTAATTTTTGGAAGTAATTTAAGAATACATAATGCTCCTTAATTAAATAGTTAAACAACTTATGTTAATGAGTCTACCCATGTTTATAGTAATCTGAACATAACATTGCTTGGGTCAGACACCAGCTGCAATAAATGTGTATAACTGCATCCTCTGACATAAACCCTTAGTTATGATTCTGGTACAGAAACTAAAGATAATTTTAATAGGCAAATTTAACTCTACGATGCATACCTAAGAACAAACTGCAGGTTAAGCATCACAAATCCTGGCATGATGGCTTTTGAGGTCAGTGGAAAAAAAAGGTTCAGAAAACGGTGTGTGGCATAAGAATAAAGAAAACTCCACTTATTTGTGTACATATGTAGTTCTAAACTGGGAAGTTGGGATCTGACTTTCAGAAGACATTTGATATTGTCTGAAGATATTTTTTTTTCGTTGCCACACTGGGAAATGCTGCTGGCATATGGTGGGCAGAAGCCAGGGATGCTGCTTCACATTTTAAAAAGCACAGACTAGTCCCCCAAAACAAAGAATTATCCAGTCCAAAAGTGCTATGGTTGAGAAACCCTATTCTAGAGGACACACAAGACACACAGATAGCACTGGTTACTACAGTTCAGTGAATTCTCACTTTACAATCTCAACTTTTTAATTTGCAAATCTACTTAGAATAAAAACCTGAACAATCCTGATATGCTACTTACCTATAGATTTCGTTCTCAGAAGTTTTGGGAATACATCAAAGAGAAATAGTAAGGTTATTAGTTCAATCCAAGAGCCTAAGATACATTTCTGCCTTTTCCCTAAAGGTGCTACTCTGTGTGTCATCTGCCAAGATAGAAGCTCCTTACGCCAAACAATTGTCCGCTTAGAGCTAGAGGACGAGTGGCAATTCCGCCTCCGGGATGAGTTTCAAACTGCCAACAGCAACGATGACAAGCCTCTTTACTTTCTTACTGGACGTCATGTATGAGCTTTGGAAGAGACCAAAAATTGCAAAGGGATGCCTAGCTGGGGTGGGACAGAAACAATTATTGAGGGATTTTTTTTTCTTTAAAGTACAATCACTGTGGAGCAAAGTGCAACATATTTGTCTATTCTCCAAAGAACTCCCCAAATCTAACCAAGTCTTTGGGGCATCACTCTCCTTCAGTTCTAATTACAGGACCCTACATTCAGGCGAACTCCACTGTAGGCAATTATGCAATTACTTAAGATGTGGTCTGCCTGTGGGAGCCTGAGGAGGATAGACTTTGGAGAACAAACATGGAGTTTGCATTGGTTTTTTTCTACTATACTGCATTGGGGGAAAAACTGTCAGCATTAGCTTGCTTGAATGTGTTACATGAGATACACCATTGGTGTGGAAATAATTGAAGATTAACATTTGAGGCCTGAACCCTCAGTTTCTCTTCAGATCTGTACTTTGGTACAGTATTACTCAGGGGTCTGAAATGATAGAATGTAGAAGTTATTTGTATTTAAAAAAAGAAGTAGTTTTGTCTTTTTCTGTGCAGTGTTAGTTTAAGATTTATAATCTTTTATGTATTGAAACTTTTGGCAAAATTTCCACAGGAGTTAAGAGTTTACTATTTAAACTGAACAAACAAATCAGTAAATGCAGAGCAGGCATTGTGTACATTTATGAAGAGTCTCCTAGCTTAATTCCTTTGCTTTTCCCATTCTTTAAAAGTTTCCAGTCTTAAAGCACACCATGTCTAAGAGAATATGGAATAGTGATTAATCTCGTTTAAGAACCTGATTAAGCAGTTGGGCCAATTAAGCAGCTTTTAGGAGTTAACCTGTACCCACCCTGTTTTGATTGAAAATAAGCAGCTAGCACTAGGCAAACCTCAATGTCAAGCTGAGGCTCTGCTGTGGAGTAGAACCAGTCGTGCCCCCCGTTTCGCCCCCCAAACTCAAGCACAGCTTCCTTAAAAAAAAAAACAAACAATATTAGCTGCCTTACACGGACAACACAGAAAGTGCTGGAATGGGAAATAGAGCCATGGAAAGAGAGAACTATTTTACTTAATTATACCACTGACATATTTGTGAGGAGTAAAAAAGATGCCAGGAGTTTTTGACTCAAAATCAGTACATGATGTCTGACCAATATAAACAGTAGGATTTCTCACCAAATATTTTAATGAAGAGCAGATTCTAGGAAATATTCTAGAATAGTCTATTTGAAGTTTATACTTATATTACTCCGGTTCTCATCATTAAACAATCTCTTTGAGATTTTTTGATTTGCCCACATGTATCACTTTATCCCCACTTAAAATGGCCTTTGTTACTTGAATCTGTCTAGTGACCTGAAACTACTGAGAGGGGCCTACGAAGCCTGCATTTACTTAGAACAAATAGTGTTTTATCTTGTGATAACAAGGAGTTTACAGCTAGTGGAAAGATGGAATGTATTAGATTGAAAATGGCTTGCAGATCTCTTGGTTTTAATATAGCTACTTTTAATGCTTTAAATGTATTTTGAAATGAACAATTCCTTTTAATCCCCTTTTTGTCCTTCAAAGAAGACCTGCCTTATTATATATGCTTTAAAAACTTAGTATAGCAGAATTTTTAGCAAAGAGGTACGTTCTAAAGCAACTTGGTGTAGATATGAATGTATTTCACTTTTTCCTGTTTTGTTGAAAGGGCCTGATGCAGATGATATCAAAAACCCCACTGTTTGTGCAATATTCCAATAACATTTACTATAGGGCAAATAAAATACTTGAAGTAGTTCTAATTTTACCTGGGGCAGATGGCCTCTCAGTGTTTGTTCTGGTTTTATGTATGATTTCATGGTCTCAAGGTTTTTTTAAGTTTCTTTAGATGCAGGTACTCCATGTTAGGGCTGCACTCTAAAAATTCAAATTATTATGAGTTCAGAACTACTACTCAACTCTGTGGAAGAGAAATGCCAGAATAAAGTCCAACACATCAACTCGATAGTGGAGAAATTTAAGTTGACCTGCCTAATTTTTCTTTCTTTTTTTTTTTTTTTTTTTTGAAAGCCTCTTAAATCACTTTATCACTCTTAATTCTTTAGAGAATGTTAGGTCATCTCTAAGGAGAAAATTGCACAAGCACAGGACACCATGATTTGTTAGTGTATGTGTTCAGTTTATGCTTTTCCACCCCTTAAAACACTAGTGTGGAGTGAATGGATTCACTAGGCCCACACAATAACTCACCTACACACCTGCTTAAAAACTATGGCATGTATGTATGACACTTCACACAGGTTAATACTAAATGTAAACTAAATATTAGAATTGTAGTTGTCAATTTGGTTTGGCTGTAATTTATGCAAATGCTTTTTGTGACTTTTAGAAAAAGGGGTACCTGTGTTACATTATTACTGTAAAGTTTTAACCAAAATTTGGTGAATTTCACTAGTCAGTCTACCTCACGTTTTGTTGATGATTCAAGTTGTCGTAAGTTGTGTCTACAATATGTTCTTGTCCTTTCATTTAATTTGGTGAATGTATTAAAATTCTCTCCCACTCCCCACCCCCCAAAATAGTTTGTTTTCTTTAAACTAATTTTCTATTATGTTAAAAAAAACAGAATGTGCTCTCAGACTCTGACAACATCCAAAAAAGCTTGGAAATACCAATATTATAGGATGGATGGCTCAAAGATTCTTCTATTCTGGCACAATAGTCCAAGAAAGTAGTAAATATTTGTTGAATGAAAATCTGTAGCTCAAATACATACACACACCTAAAGTATCTATAGACCCATTTGTAGAGTTGCATATAATTATATATGACAGACCTAGAAATTATTAAAGAATTAGAAATATTCACACTACCTCCCCCATCTTTTATAGATGGCAACTACACTCAGTTTGGTGTCCTACTCAGAAACACAGTGTTGGGTTTACTAGAACTGTGTAGTATGATACAAGGTATATACTGTTAACTTCCAATTTATTTCTAAACTGCCTAATTTTATCAACTCTTGAACCCATTATACTCTCTTCTAGGTTAAAGGCCCCTTGTCATTTACCTCAGGAGAGACAATAAATATTTCTAAGCCTGATAGCAGACTGACAGGAAACAAACTACCAGTTTTCCTTCTACAGCATATTCCCAAGCAGCCACCCTGAAAAGACTAAACACACCCAAGGCCAAATCTTCACATTCAACTACCTAGATAGACCTGGACTAACATCCTGGGAACAAACATTTCTCAGGCTTCTCTTCACACATGAAAACTTATCCCCGCTTAAGCTTCCTCTGACTCTAGGAGAATACTGCTATAACTGAAGCCCTGGCCTCACTGGAAAAGTCATCACCAAAGATGATTTCAGGAACAGTTAGTAAGGTCAAAGAAAAAGCCTTTCACATAATAAATTCACTATACTCTTAACTAGCAAGTTCTAAACTAAAGCATCTACTCCAGGGCCTATGACAACAGATGGAACAAGTTCTAAGAAAGAAAAGGCAACCAGTAAGTCATTCTCTGACCACTTCATTCCATAAGTAGCTCATGTATTTTATTTTTACTAGGAGGGTGGTAGGGGTGAAGGACTGCCTTAAAACAGAATTCTTCCCTTTTTCTGTTAGAAGGCTCAAGGGTCATGAGAAAGAGACAGTTCTGTAGTCACTACCCTAGGAATCAACTCAGTAAATCTTAACCCTAGGTGAAGTGTGGGTGGTCAGGAATATGGCTATATTTCCATCCAAAGGGATAAGACTCCCTTGCTGAGCAACTCCAAGTAAGTAAGAACAATTAAAATACCATTACAATGGGGCTGGGGATGTGGCTCAAGCGGTAGCGTGCTCGCCTGGCATGCGTGCGGCCCGGGTTCGATCCTCAGCACCACATACAAACAAAGATGTTGTGTCTGCCGAAAACTAAAAAATAAATATTAAAATTCTCTCTTTAAAAAAAAAAATACCATTACAAGTCTGTTGTACTCATTGTCTGTACAGTAGTCATATATTAAGATACACCAAATTCACTCTTACATATTATGAACTGGTAAAATACTTTTTATAATTCTTACTAGAGAAAATAATCATTGTATGTGTACACAGATATGGACATAATTCATCAAATCTCATGGCTGCTATGTCTGTATGTGAGATACTTTTGTAAAGCACCAACAACTATTGGAGGGCAGCTAACAAAAAAATTTATGGGCACCTTTATATAATCAGTGATTACAAAATCACTCTTTCCTGAAGTTTGACTGTAGTTATTGGTCTATACTCACTGTGGCCACTCCTTCCTCCACCATCCCATAGACATTGCTCATTCTAATGTCACTTGGACTATCTTCAGTCTTCATTTGTGGTATGGCAGTGTTGTCCATTCTCTGATTTCTGAAACTCTTCTCTAAACCACTCTCTTCTAGCTGTTACTTTGCTCTTGTCTTCTCAGGTACTCTTCTTTGAGATAAATAATGGTGTTCCTCATAGACGTCTTCCTCCTTCTCCTTTACAAACCCCTGAATGATCTCTTCTAAACCTTCAAACACACCAGGAGTGGTGGCAGAAACCTGTATGGGAGGCTGAGGCCCTAAGCAACTCAGCAAGACTCCGTCTCAAAATATAGATATAGATAGGTAGGTAGGTAGATAGATAGATAGGGGCTGAGAATGTTGTTCAGTGGTTAAGCACCCCTGGGCTTAACACCCACCTCCATCAAAAAAACAAAAACAAAAAAATTCGAATAACTGAACTTACAAGTTTATTTGCTCAGCCCAAACCTCTCTTAAACTCTAAATCCACATTTCCAAATGTACACTAGATGAATACTTACACTTGGAGGTTCTGTAACTACCTTAAAATCTTGATCAAAACCGAGCTCACTGTTGACCATCAAATTTTCCCAACCTAATTCTTATTATCATCTCAATAAATCCATATACTTAATTATCCAACCAAACTTCCCACATACCCTAGACTTTTTGCCACAGAGGACTTTTCCAGCCAGTCATAAACTCCAATCACAGCTTCAGTTCAGTGTTTCAACATTTTTCACAATCATTACAGTAGTATCAATTATCTTTGAAATTACAGATGCCTCTCCTGTAATCCCTGTTTTATAGGATGGTCATGATGATTAAGGTAAATAATGCACAAAATACAGAATCTGGCACAGCAAATACTCAAATGTTAGGTACTACAATAGTACTACTATTCTTAGAGAAATACCTAGATTATAAAATTTATTTGAGGGACTGTGTTTTCAATAAAAACGTGAAAATAAATTGTTTTCCTGGTAAATGGTTAACATTTAAAGCAACCAATTAATGTATCCTCTCTGCCCATGGGTCTCCATAAAACCACCAAGTGTGGCTTGCCAATCAAAAGTATTATACTGTGGCTCATGTGGAAATGGAATCTGTATTATGAAGTTAACCAGTTACTAGGGAATCTATATGGTACCCCAAAATTTCTTCTAAAAATTCATGGGACCTTGCCGGGCACAGTGGTGCATACTTGTAATCCCGGTGATTCAGGACGCTGAGGCAGGAGGATTGCAAGTTCAAGGCTAGCCTCAGTGAGGCCCTAAGCAACTTATTGAGATCTGTCTCAAAATAAAAATAAATAAAAAGGGGTTGGGGGATGTGGCTCAGTGGTTAGGTGCTCCTGGGTTCAATCCTCAGTACCAAAACCAAAACAAAATTCAGGCAAACAATGAGTCCAGTGATGACTAGAAGAGGCCATCATGATGACTCAGAATGAACTATTTATCCTGTCTTACCGTCCTATCATATAAAAAGTACGGTCTCACAACACTCTATAAATAAAAAAAAAAAAGCACAAACCTATAGGAAGATAAAATGTACACCTGTTAATATTAACTTAAGGCCCTTAATTTTAGCCAGTTTTCAAGAAAAATACAATCATTTACACTCACAAAAATAATCTAAGTGGAACCATAGTGATTCTTCATCCTTGGGCTATGGCCCTTTATTTCCTTGAAAGATCAGAAAAGTGCAATGTTACTAAAATAATCAGAAGGGATTTTTCCTTTTGGAGATAAAGTTCAGCAGAGTTGCTGATAACATAAGGATCCATTGGGAAACTGGTGAAAACTACCAGTTTAAGAACCCAGTATTTTAATCATATTTCAAGATCTCAAACCTAAGAAACTCCCTGAATAAGCACAAATGACAAAACAACATTTTCTTAGTACATTTATCACTTAGAAAAGACTAGCAAGTATTTTATTATTTTATTCTACATTATATACAGATCATAAAAGGCCACAGCAGTTTTCAACATATAAACCCTTTAAAAGTAGAGGGCACTATGAAGGATAGACAAGTATCAAAATGAAGTCCAGTAACGAGGGCATATACTCAGTGCAGTATTTTTGAGGAATAACAGAGCAGATACCAAGTCATCCATATTTAGCTTACAACTGTTCCATGTTTTTATAAGCCTTTTGAGTGTTAACAGCCCAGTTGTGGCAAAAGTTGCCATTAAAAAAAGAAGGTATACCTAGAATGAAATATTGAACTTAAAAAGTACCCTTCATAATTCTAGCCATTTATAGCTCTAAAAAGTAGGAAAACCTCAAATTTTACCCCCTTACAATTCAATCCATCAAAGGTAGAAAAGAGAAATGGAAGGAAAAGTTCACTATTCCAAATTCTCTCTATTTGGAATTTTCTTTTCCTTTAGGGGTTTCTTCAAAGTATACATGAGGCCTTTTAAGAATCAGCTTCAAATTCCTAAACACGTAATACTGCAACCTCCTTAAATAATAATTGAAAAACACTGGTTTCCACTCTGAAAATACAATCTTTAAACCTATAACTGGTATCAGCAGATCAATATAAAAAAATACAGTACCAAGCTACACTGGTATATTTCCATATTAAGAACTTCAAAATATACTTATCACTGAGACCATAGTCCTTGCATTAGTTTTCAGTCCACTATGAACAATTATCTGCTGCATGTAAACATGTCTAAATAACTATAGATAAAATACATCAATCATAAATTTCTGTAAAAGATAATAAAATATCTTCTTTAAAAAACAAAACAATAATAAGCTATTACTGCATTGTTTCCAATTTTATGAAAATGGAACAACCAAGTGGTTGTTGCCAGTCCTGAGTTCATTGTAATAAAAATGGCCCTAGTTCCTGGTTAAAGTCAGCAACCAATCCATTCTCTTCAATAGATGTCTTCTAGTACTGTAGACAAGCTTTGTTTAAGTAGTATTCTGTCCATTAATAAAATTATATACCAGAAATTGACCAGTGCCACAGTACTGTGTTGCAAACAATTTTCCATCAGGAGTGGGATCTGAGAAAGCAATTTCTTCTTTACTCAAATATGAGCCATATATAAAGTTACTCCTATTAAAAAAAAAGGGGGAGGGGGGAGAATGTGAAAAGTTAAAAAAAATCATTATTATTTCTAATCTTAAAAAAATCTGTCAAATTCATTTTGACTAGAAAGACTTTCAGATAATGATACCTTATTCTAAAGACTGTTGAAGTAACTGTGCTTTTAAAATATTATCAATTATTTGAGGTTAAAAAGTTTTTAAATAAAAACAATGTAAAACATGGACCCAACATCTTGTCATGATAAAAATACTCAACAACACAAGGAAATTCCTCAACTTTCAAAGACATCAAAGACCATCAGATTTAATGATAGAAGACTGAGAACTCTTCCTCAAAGATCAGGAACAGGAAAAGGGTGCTGTGTCTTGAATATTATACTGGATGCTCTAGTCAGGGCAATTAGATAAGAAAAAGAAATAAAAAGCATCCACGGGGCTGGGGTTGTGGCTCAGCAGTACAGCACTTGTCTAGCATGTGCGATGAGGCCCTGGGTTCAATCCTCAGCATCACATGAAAATAAATAAGTAAAATAAAAGGTACTGTGTCTAACTACAACTAAAAAATAAATATTTAAAAAAAAAAAAAAGCATCCACAGTAGAAAGGGAAAAAAATGATCTCTTTTGATCTAAGGTTGTGGCTCAGTGCTTGCCTAGTATGCACAAAGCCTTTGGTTTCAATCCCTAGTATTACCAACAATTTTTTAATTAGATTAAAAAAATTTTTTTTTAATTATCTCTTTCACAGATAACACAACCTTGTATAGAGAAAATCCTAAGGAATTCACACACAAAAAAAAGATATAATACGTGACTTCAACAAGACTGCATATTCAAGACTGATATTCAAATATCAATAATATTTGCTACACATTTGCAATGAACAATCCAAAAATAAAACTTAGGAAAAAATTCCACTTAAATCAACAACAATAAAATACTTAGTAATAAACTTAATAAAAGAAGCACAAGACCTATGAATCAAAAACTACTAAGTACTGTTAGAATGAAAGACATGATATTTTTTTAATTCAAAACACACTACTACCAAAAATAAAAATAAAATAATATAATTAGGGCTGGGGTTGTAACTCAGTGGTAGAGCACTTGCCTAGCATGTGGGAGTCACTGGGCTCGATTTTCAGCATGCATATAAATAAATAAAATAAAGATCCATGGGCAACTAAAAAAAAATATATACACTCACACACACACATACATACATACACACATATATAAAATGTAACAGAAAAGTGTAGAGTTCAACACTTGGTAAAACGATAGAAATATAGATCAATGGAATCTGAAGTGCAGCACTTGCCTTAGCTAGTATGAGAGAGGCCATGGGTTCAATCCCCAGCACTATCCCAAAAACAAACAAACCAACAAGGGAATACAATCCAGATATAAATCTTGACATTTACAGTCAATAACTTTTTATAATCTCACCAAGACTGACCACTCAAGTGGGGAGAATAACTGGTCCCTTTAACAATAGTGATGGGAGGATAGAATATCCACATGCAAAAGAAAAAAGTATATCCACATGTGATATCCTACCTCATATCACACACAACAGTGAATTCAAAATGGATCAGAGACCTATATGTAGGAACTAAAACTATAAACTAAATAAGACATAGGTATTAATCTTTGTGGCCATGGATTAGACAATGGCTTCTTAAATATGACAACAAAAATAGAAATGACAAAAAATATCAATTGAACTTCATTCAAGTAAAAAACTACTGTACTTCAAAGGATATCATCAAGAAGATGAAAATAACCACCACAAAACAAAAAATTTTTACAAATCATACATAGGACAAGGAACTTGTTTCAGAATACATAAAGAGCTACTGCAACTCAACAACATTTTAAGGGATATAGGATATGAACAGGCATTTCTCTGAAGATGATCTATTAATGGCCAATAATAAGCACATGAAAAGATGTTCAACATTAGTTATTAGGAAAATGCAAATCCAAACCACAATGAATTACCGTTTCATATCCACTAAATAGCTAAAATATAAAAAGACAAACCATAACAAGTACTGGTGGAGAAATTATGAGCTCTCATACATAGGTAGAATTATAAAATGGTGCAGACACTGGAAAAATTTGGCAGTTTCTCAAAACATTAAACACACAACTATAATATGTTCAGCAATTCTACTCCTAGTATACATCTGAGAGAAATAAAACATACATTATTTACACAAAAGTTTGTACATGAATGGTCACAGCAATGGTATTCAGGATAGCCAACGAGTGAAAACAACTCAACTGTTCACAAATTAATAAATGGATAAATAAAATGCATACTAGTACATAAGGTTTTATTATTTGTCAGTATAATAAAAAAGAATGAAGTACACTGATACATGCTACAACATGATGACATCTGAAAACATTAAGTAAAAGAAACTAGTCACAAAAGGTAGAATTCCATTCATATGAAATGTTCAGAATAGGCAAATGCATTACCTTAGATTAGGTAGAGGGAAGTGAAAGGAGGGGAAGGCAGGGGATGTGGGGATAAGAAAGATAGTAGAATGAAACAGACATTATTATTTTATGTATGTATGTGACTATATGACCAATGCGATTCTACAATATGTATACTCAGAAAAATGAGAAATTATAATCCATCTATGATATATCAAAGTATATAAGTGCATTCTACTGTCTTGTATAATAATTAAAACAAATAAAAAATTTTAAAAAAATAGATAAATGCATTTAGACAAAAAATAGATTGATGGCTGCCAGGAGCTGAGGATAGGATGATATAGGGAATCACTGCTAATGGGAATGAGATTTTTATGGAGTAAAATAGAAATACCCTGAAATTCAGACAGTGAATTCAGTCAGTCGTATAGTCTTCCAAATGTACTAAAATCCACTGAATTGTAAAGCTTTAAATAGATGAACTTTATGGTATACATCTCAAATAAAGACATTATTAAAAACATTTTTGTTAATGCTTAGCCAATAGAGAGCCCACTATTAGAATTTTCATGTTGTGATCTTCACAAGGAGTTCTGAACAGTTTTATAGGAGGACCTACATACAAAAGATCAGTAAACGAAAAAACTATAAATGGATAGGGAATAAGGTCCCTAATGAGTTTTACTCTGTCACACAGAATAAATACAACTCCCACACTATTTTACTTTTTTACAAACTAGAGCTATTTATAGTTGCCACAAGATTTACAAGGAGGGAAAATACTCTCCATTAGGTTTATTATTTATTTAATCAGCAAATTTTCCAGGCTTAGTTCTGAAAATTAAAAACAGACATGCATCTTTGTCATGAAAAAAAGAGTAAGTAAGAGCTGAGTTCTTTTGGATCATTACTCATTAGTAAAATAAGGGGACTGGTGTAACTCTACACCAGGTACAACCAGAAGAATGAGAAGTTGTCCTTCATTTATGTATGATGTACCAAAATGCATTCTACTGTCATGTATAACTAATTGGAACAAACAAACAAAAAATAAATAAATAAGGGGAAGAGACCAGATATGTATTAACGATCTAAAATCTTAAGAGACTTAGGATCTCACTTTTCAAAAAATGAACTGACCAAAACCCCTCTTGGAATGACTAATTTAACTTTCTCCATTAACCCTGTGTCAAAGTACCTTAAAAATAAAAACTCAAACCTATAATTTGTGTCTTCACTTTATGCCTTTGATAAACAATCAAGTGATGAAAGGAGAAAAAGTAATGAGACTTAGTTTATAAATAATATTCTTAAATTAAGATTTCTCTAAAAGTTGAACTCCCAAGAAACTTTCCATATTTCTGTGGTTATGCTTAAAATTCTCCAGTGTTGAACACAGCTTTAAATAAGTGAATTAAATGGCCTGATATAACAACTACAAATAACCAAGTCAAAATGGCTTAATAACATTTAACCTGGTTTCTTCCTCCTCAAATTAATTTCACACAAAGTACTGAGAGACCATATAATGATAGGAAAAATTTACACTTAATATAAGTAAGTTATAATTTATGATTAACTTAAATAACCAATCTTTATACTAAAATTGCTTAGATCCTAAACTACTACAAATGATTTGAAGAATTATATGCAAGTTACCTTAGGCATTCAATCATGCGAGAAGCTATTTTCTTCCGCCGCATCATGCTGAACACCCATATTCGACTGATCCCACATATTGCAGGCTCTGGCAATGTTGAGCAGCACCAGGCTTTCTGCCTTTCAAATCTGACTTTTTCTTCTTCTGACCTGGTAGCTGGAAGTTTCTCTTCTATAACTCTGTAGCCCTGACAGATATCAAAATTAAGGAGAAAGTTTTATAGGGAGAATATTAACTGCAATTACCTAGAACTGTTCTTCCAGAGGAGGTAACCACACTTGGTTTCATAACAATTATAAGACCCACTTATGTTTTCACTCTCATTTTTAGGAAATAAACACATCTGGATTTGCATTCTGTTCTACTTGACTTACTAGTTGTATGATCATGAGATAAAGTCACTTAGTTCCCCTGACACTGGGTTCTTCACCTTTATAAAAACTGGGAATGCCCATCATCTCTCATTAAGAGATTAAATTAAGTAACATGTACAAAGCATCTTGCCATCACTAAATGCTAGTTCTCTCTACCTCCTATATTCTAAGGACCAGAAAAGTACATGTTTACACCAGAGACAATGGTTCATGCCTATAATCCCAACTACTTGAAAGGCTGAAGCAGGAGGATCACAAGCTAGAGGCCAGTCTGGGCAACTCAGTGAGACCCTGTCTCAAAACAAAACTTAAGAAGGGTAGGGGATGAAGTTGGAGTTGCAGCTCAGCGGTAGAGCGTTTGCCTAGATGTGTGAGGCACCACATATAAATAAGTAAATAAAATAAACATCCATCGACAACTAAAAAAATATTTTTAAAAAAAATGGTTGAGGATGTAGCTCAGTGATAAAGCACTTGCCTAGCATGTGTTAGACCCTTGGGTTTGATCCTCATTACCACAAGGAAAAAAAAAGTTCATAACTCAGCAATAATAACTATTCCTGTGAAGGATGCAATAGTTCAGGCTTCACAGCTAAGAACTAGGTAGAGAGATAGCAGAGAAATTAAGAATTTAAATGGCCCTTTCCTCACACTCTGAGCTCTTTAAAATAAGTAATTAGCATTGGAGAGTCATGTGGGCCAAATTTTATTGTTATATTGTGTACATGTATGAATATGTAAAAACAAATTCCATCATTATATAAAACTATAATGCACCAATAACACAATATGGAAACCAAAAAATTTAAAAATTAAAAAATAACTAAAAAACATATCTCTTCTGCCAATCTAGCTGTCACAAAAGGATCTAATCAGCCTCCTGATGGGATATGGTACAGAATTTAAAAAGTCGTGACATGACACAATTAATGCTAACATCACATAGCTACCTTCTAGTTTCAATACTACCTAAAATCATTTGGGGAACTATGTGGAATAGAAATTTCAAAACAATGGCTGTACTATGTAAAATTAACTCGATCTCTGGCAGAATTCTTTACATTCAATTAATATCTCAATACTACTTATCACAAAAAATAAAAGTAATTTAAAAAAAAAAACTTAGTAGCTATTTAAAACCAATTTTATTATCCTAGCAAGATTCATATGAACTACACAATTTCAGAGTGAATATTTAAAACACATAGCTTAATACAGAGAAATAAATTCATGTAGACTTTTTTTGGCTTTTAACTCTATTTAAAAACATTATGACGAAGCGTACATTTGCAGGCATTTTTAATATGCTAGAAATACTAACTGAACAACAGCCACACATGATGACCATTAAATTTATAAGGACTAAAAAAAAAAAAAAAAAAAATTCAAAGTGAGGATGACTAGGAAGTCCAGAAGCTTCCATTCTCTTACGTTGGTCTCATGTATTAAATAACATGAATAAAATGTGAGCACATCCTTTACTATGATTTGCCTCATAAAAACAAAACAACTATTCATCTAGAGCTCAACCACTGAAGTAGTGACCTATTCCAGAGGTGGCGAAGTTTCTAGAAAGGACTCAATAATAAATACAGTAGGCATCAAAGTCCACTTAGTCTAGACAAACATGTGAGCAAATGGGTGTGGTTGTGTTACAATAAAATCTTATGTACAAAAACAGGCCATAATTTACCCACTATAGTTTGCCTACACTTGACTGATTCTAGTGCTATAGGGAGTAAAATATTAATTACATTAATATCCAACAGAGTCTTCACAAAAAAATCTTAACTGTACTTCTGATTCTACAGAATTATCTAACTTGAGCAACTCAAGAGGCTGAGGCAGGAGAACCTGATCCCAAAATAAAAAATTTAAAAGCCTAGGGATGTGGCTCAGTGGTAAAGTGACCCCCAGGTTCATTCCCCAGTACCAAAAAATAAAAACATAATTTTTTTTGTTTGTTTAAAGAATTATCTGGGCTGGGACTGGGGCTCAGCAGTAGAGCGCTCGCCTAGCACGTCCAAGACACTGGGTTCAATCCACAGTGCCACATAAAAATAAATTAAATAAAGATATTTATTGTGTATTGTGTCCAACTACA